CTGCATTTGACCCACCGGAGCAACCACTCTCTGGATCTTAACAATCTCCTTGTTTACCTATAACGAATATTAAGAGTGTTAGAGAATGTATGGAGAAGAATGCAGCTTCAAGAAACCAAATCGAATATGTAATACATTATGGTAGTGCTGAAAATTATCACTCACGACATCTGAAGGTATAGCTGTCAAAATAAGCTTCCTAAAAACGAATAAAAGCTACAGCACTATGAACTTATGATCCAACTTCACCACAAGGTCTGCTAAGAAAATTAGTTACTCTTTTCAAATCTTACACTACAGGGCAAGAATTATCTGCTTACTGAGCTTTGATCTGACAACAACAACTATTCTGTAGCAACAACAGCCCAGTGTAATCCCACAAGTGGTGTCTGGGGAACAACAACTATTCTGTAGCAGACTTCTAATTTATGGATCAAGTCCAGAGAGTGATTTCCTAAAAGAATTCTAGTGATCAATGAAGTGGAATGAGAACCATGAGAGACCAACCTACAAATGCCGACGAAGTCAAAACACGCTAGGTGATCTTTTCCCCATCTGTCTAAACATTAATGTGCAGAGTTACCCGATATATGTGCTAGAGGAAGATAACAGATAACCGAATACCCGATGAAATAGGCAAGTTATGGGCAAGTTGTGCTTGTGATGGATATCACCATTATAAATGAAAAAGAACTCTACAAATTTCCATTAATTTTCTATGTACATTAATGAGATCATAAATTTAGTATTAGTCTTGGTTTTCTCTTTAGCATGAATTTCAAGGAAATTTTGCAATTTAATATGATTAGTTTTTAGAATGTAAAATAACCTATGTAAGATCCAGATAATTCATAAACTTTGTACAAAAGCAAATCGAGAGGCACTTGAAGACATCAACATCATGAACAGAATGTACAAACGTTCACAAAGTTGATTTGAATCAAACCTTAGATATAAGGGTATCATCCTCATCAAGAATGTATGTCAAACCCCCAGTCATACCAGCAGCTACATTTCTACCAACCCTGTTGTAAGCAAGAAAACATAGCTCAAATCCATGTTACGAATCCTACACTGTATGAGTGGAACGTGAACAACAGACAATACTTACTTTCCAAGCACAACAACACACCCTCCTGTCATGTACTCACAACAGTGGTCCCCAGTGCCTTCTACAACAGCTTGAGCAAGAGAATTCCTCACAGCAAAACGCTCTCCTGCTTTACCTCTGACAAATACTTGACCACCTGTCGCTCCATATAAGCAGGTGTTCCCTACTATGGTGGCATCCTCCGGACAAAATCCAGTATTTTCAACAGGAGTTACAATCAATTCTCCTCCAGCCATGCCCTTTGAAATTTGAACCAGTAACTTCTGTTAGTATGGATGGAATATTGTATTCTTAAAATTCAGATAACGAGCTTACTAAACAGCTCGGCAATATTACTTCGCATATCGGAGAAACAACATGTGGCATGTGTTACCAGAATAACACTCAACCAATTACCAATGGCCTGTTAGGAAAAACCATAACAGAGAGAGTTTCAAATCCACATGGGGCATATCTTATTTGTTCAACAAACCTTTCCTACATAGTCGTTAGCTTCTCCAATAAGTCTGATGTTCATTCCAGGTGTCAGAAAACAAGCAAATGATTGGCCAGCACTCCCAGTAAATCTGCATCGCGAGAAAAACATACTTGCTCATACTGATATATGACTCTAATTATTATAATCGCAAATACGTAAAAGATAATCTTACGTTATGTTCAGCTGCCCAGCAAAACCAGTATCACCATATTTCTTAGCCACAGCACCCGCAATACGACCACATACAGCACGGTCAATATTGTATATTTCAACAGTCTTGTTGACCACCTTCTCATTTTCAATAGCGTCAAATATCTGCATATTAAAAGTTTGTCCGTTGGTCCCTTATAATTTCTTCCAGAATATGGAAATTTCTCGATGGATTTTTCATTTCAATTATTGTGTCACAAACAAAATATTATGAGATATATTTCGTGTTGTGAAAGGCAGGGACGCAAGGCGAGGCGTTTCACCTAATACGGGCAAGGTGTAAGTCGAGCGTAAGCCCCATGGATCTTTAATTCTAAATATTTTATAAATTAATAAAATTAAAATAAAATATTAGAAAAAGATAAAATTACATAGACATTATAAAAATTTCAAAGAAATTATAAAATAATGGAATGTATATAGAACTGTTTCATCTTAAAACACTAATCAGAATCAGCAACCGACTAAAAAACTAACCAAAATTGTTGCATCTAAAAAAATCTATCAGACTTTGAAATAAATTGAACAAAAATTTATAAACTAACTTGAAAGAAAAAAAGAGCTTGAGCGATTTGAACCAGAGCAAGTGATGAAGGATGATGTGTTTTTGCTTTATAGTTTGAAAATTGATCATTTTTCCCTTTATCAGTAGAACATGAAGAAAAAGAATAAAAATTAGGGCTAAGAACGAAAAATCTTTTAATTTTTCACAATTTTTTCTTTTTAGAATTAATAACAAGATGATTTCTTTTTCTTTTGGTATTAAATTAAGGACTTGTTTAGCAATTCTAATTCTAATTTGAAGAGGTTTTCTGTGCATATGCCCCGAACAAAAAACTCACCAAATGCCTAAGTATACACCCAAAACATCACGATACTTTTGCCTTTCCAGATTGCCCAAGCACATTTTTACTACGCCCCTCCCAAGGGCTCGCCCCGGCACTCACCCCAAAAACACCTTTTACAACATTGGATATATTTGTTGTCCCAAATCAATTGTAATTACATTTCTCGGTTGATTTATCTAAAAAATCCAAAATAGAAGCTTTTAAACTCTACTCTGCAAAACATTTCTCTGAAACAAGGCAAATGGGAGACGCTGCTCTTTCTGTGGGAAGGACTAGCCCACTTTAATTTTTGTTATTCATTTGGACCGCTTTCCATCGAAGATAAATTTCTCTGAATGGACCACGAGTAAAATATTCATGGACAAGAACAAATTATCATGAGTTATACCCACTTTGTGCCTAATAAACTGTCCTTATTTTTATTTATTAGAGTGTCACATCGCCTGAGGGTGTGGGATGTTGTCTCCTTATATGATTTGGGAGAATCCTCACTTCATGAGCTAACTTTTGGGGTCGAGTTAGGCCTAACGTTCATTTACATTACATGGTATCGGTGGCAGATCCATCCTACCTATGTCGGGCCCTATAGTATGTTGTCCAAGATCCAAAGTGCGGGTGTGTTAAGAATCCCAAGGGTATGGTTGTTATCTCCCTATGTCTTTGGAGAATCCCTACCTCATGAGATAGCTTTTAGGATTGAGTTTGGCTCAAGCTTCATTCTCTTAACATGATTTATTGGACATTTTGATTTGTGGCTAAAAAAAAATTTAGTGACCTTACTGTTAAAGAGTTAGTAATGTATCGGGAAGTAGATACTTATTATTATGTAATCACTATATATAAATAATGCATTCTACAACACTTCAGACATAAATAATAAAACTTTTCCCGGCTATACTTCTCACATGGTATCAGAGCACCCGTGAGAAACTCCGGAAAGGTCGGACAGTTGTTCTGCATCAACTTCCGGTGACTTTTTCCATATCTGATTGTCACCTCCTTTTTGGTGAGTATTGTGCTAAAACCAACACCACCAACATACTCAGAAAGCTCTGATGACCAAAGCCCTAGAAACCATCCCGACAGAAGACCAGTCACGCGCGGCCAGAACCTCCTGCGCCGGCAACATGTCTGTCACACGCGTTGGCGCGTGAACACTTTTACGGCCTGTTTTTGACGAAAGTCCTTTTGGACAGCTGGCTCGCAAGGTGATTCCGAGCCTATCAGTCCAAGTTACACCAAATTCCGACAATTTTTTTGTATTTTCCGGCGACTATTTGCAGATTCCAGCAATTGTTCAGTTTCCAACAAGAGATAGTGTTTTTTTCTTCACTATTTATGTGAGCTTTTTATTGTTCTTGATTGTCTGTGCTATTTGGTCCAACAATGTCTTTGGGGTTTGATGTTTTTTGGTTCTAAAACCCTTCTTGTCTATATTTCCATTATTGTGGTACTTATGCTTTACTGAGCCGAGGGTTTATTGGAAACATACTCTCTATCCTCACAAGGTAGGGGTAAGGTCTGCGAACACACTACCCTCCCCAGGCCTCACTGTGTGGGATAATATTGGGTATGTTGTTGTTGTGGTTGTTGGTTCTAAAAGCACGGGTTCTGGAAATTCAAGTTTGATGATTACTTTGAAACCCTTAATGGGATGTTCAAACTACTTAGCCTGGACTTCTTCTGTTGAGTTGTAGTGCAAGGGTCAAGGTATTCAAGATCACCTAACCAAGGATACTAGTGATGGAGATGAAAAAGCTAAAGCACTCTTGGGAGAAAGTTGATGCTCAATTATGTAGTTTGTTGTGGCGATCGATTCCAAGATAATACCTTTGTTTCGTCCATTCCAGACATGTTATTCAGTTTGGGAGAGGCTCGTACTTTATACACTAATGACATATCTCGTTTTTATGATGTGTATCTCGGATAACAAACTTAAAGAAACATGAATTGGATATGTCTACCTACTTAGGACAAGTGCAGGCAGTTGTGGAGGAATTTGAGAAGTTGATGTCAGTCACTACTAGTGTTGAAAAACAACAAAAGCAACGACAGAAGATGTTTCTAGTTCTTACACTTGCTGGACTGCCTAATGACCTTGACTCGGTGAGAGACCAATTTTGGCTAGTCCGTCGGTCCCTACAGTTGATGAACTATTCTCTCGATTGCTTCACTTGCTACTCCACCCAGTCACACAATGGTCTCACCACCAACTGTTGATTCCTCTATTCTCGCATCTCAGATAATGGAAAATTGGACATCTCAAGCTATGGAGAATCGACGAGGAAGAGGTCTTTCTGGGAGATCTCGATCCAAGTGTTCTTCTTGTAATAAACTTGGACACACACTTGAAGTGTGCTACTATTTACATAGTCGACTACCCAGAAACGCTCATGTTGCTCAGAACGAGACTACATGTAATCAGGGATTTTCTTTACCTGAAGGGGAATATAATGAGTTACTTCCGTATCGAGCAAGTAAGCAAACATCTCCATAAGTAGTCTCGGTTGCTCAGAGTGATACTCATGTTGCTCGTAATTCTTTTTCTTGCGTTTCTCAGTCTAATACTCTTGGACCGTGGGTTGTGGACTCAGTAGCTTCTGATCATATCTCTGGTAATAAATTACTTTTGTCGAATATTGTGGATTCACAATCTCTTCCTACTGATGGGTTCCAAACTAAAGCAAAAGGAGTGGAACAAGCTAATCCCTCATCTTATGTCACTCTAGATTTTGTTCTTTATGTCCTGGTTGTCCTTTTACTCTTATATCTATTAGTCGTTTGACTCATGTCCTCCATTGTGGTATATATTTTATTGATGATTCTTTTATTATGAAGGACCGCAGTACGGGGAATACGATTGGCACAGGGCGTGAATCACAATGGTTTTACTATAAATCACTCAATCCCTCCACAGCATGTCCAGTTACAGACCCTCCAAACCTAATTCACAGACGCTTAGGACATCCTAGTTTATCCAAGCTTCAGAAGATGGTGCCTAGTTTGTCTACATTAGATTGTGAGTCGTGTCAACTTAGGGAAACATACCCGAGCCACCTTTTTGCATCGTGCTGAGAGTCGTTCAGAATATATTTTTTTATAGTTCATTCTGATATATGGGGTCCTAGTAGAGTTAGTTCAACCTTAGGATTTCGTTATTTTGTTAGTTTCATTGATGATTAGTCAATATATACTTAGATTTTCCTAATGAAAGATTGTTCTGAGTTGTTTTCTATCTTCCAGAATTTTTATACTAAAACTAAAAATTAATTTGGTGTTTCTATTCACACTTTTCGTAGTGATAATGCTTTAGAATACTTATCCTCTCAGTTTCAACAGTTTATGACCTCTCAAGGAATTATCCATCTAACATATTGTCCGTATACCCCTCAGCAGAATGAGGTAGCAGAGAGAAAGAATAGGCATCTCATTGAAATTGCTCATTCAGTCCAATGTTCCGCTGCGCTTTCTGGGGCAATGTAGTTCTTACAGCTTGTTACTTGATTAATCGAATGCCTTCATCTGCTATCCAAAATCAGATTCCACATTCAATATTGTTCCCTAAGTCACCCTATACTATTTTTCTCCTCGTGTCTTTGGGAGTACATATTTTGTTCACAACTTATTTTCTGGAAAAGATAAGTTAGCTCCTCGTGCTCTTAAGTGTGTCTTCCTTGGTTATTCTCGGGTTCAAAAGAGGTATCGTTGCTACTCACCTGACATTTGTAGGTATCTTATGTCAGTCGATGTCACATTTTTTGAGTCTCAACCTTACTTTACTTCTTCTGATCATCTTAATATATCTGAGGTCTTACATATACCTACTTGTGAGGAATCCACAGCACCAACACAACCACTACTACCTAAACAGACTTTTAAGGAGTCTACAGTTGATCCTCCTACATCCCCAGCCACAAGGCCACCACTCTCGACTTATCATCGTCGTCCATGTCTAGCATCAGGCCTAGATGATTCACGTCTTGCATCAGATTCTGCACTTACTGCGGACTTGTCTCTTCCTAGTCCACCAATTGCACTCCGAAAAGGTGGACGATCACACTTAATCCTAATCCTCATTATATCGGTTTAAGTTACCATCGCCTGGTATCACCTCATTATACTTTTATATCATCTTTGTCCATTGTTTCCATCCATAAGTCTATAGGTAAGGCACTACCTCATCCAGGATGGCGATAGGCTATGGTTGATGAAATGTCTGCTTACATGCAAGTGGCACTTGGGAGCTTGTTCCTCTTTCTTTAGGTGAGGCTACTGTTGGTTGTCGTTAGGTTTATGCAGTCAAAGCCGGCCCCCAGGTTGATCGGCTAAATGCTCGTCTCGTTGCAAAAGGATACACTCAGATATTTGGGCTTGATTTTAGTGACACTTTCTCTCCTGTGGCTAAAGTAGCATCTGTTCGCCTCTTTTTGTCCATGACTGATGTTCGTCATTGGCCTCTTTACCAGTTAGACATTTAGAATGGTTTTCTACACATTGATCTTGAGGAAGAAGTTTATATGGAGCAACCACCTGGTTTTGTTGCTCAAGAGGAGTCTAGTGGTCTTGTATGTTGATTGCGCAGGTCACTCTACGATATGAAATAGTCTCCTTGAGCTTGGTTTGGTAAGTTCAGCACAATTATTGAGGAGTTCGGCATGACTCGTAGTGAAGCTGATCATTCTATGTTTTATCGGCATTCTACTCCTAATATATGTATCTATCGTGTGGTTTATGTTGATATTGTTATTACTTGCAATTATAAGGATGATATTACTAATCTGAAGAGCAGCTCTTTCAGCACTTTCAGACTGAGGATCTGGGTAGATTGAAGTATTTTCTAGGTATTGAGGTCACTCAGTCTAGCTCAGGTATTGTTATTTCACAGCGGAAGTATGCCTTAGACATTCTTGAGAAGACATGAATGATGGGTTGCAAACCTAACACTCCTATGGATCCGAATGCTAAACTTCTAGTAGGAGGTAATTTGGTCTCTTGGAAGAGCAAGAAACAGAATGTAATTGCGCGATCTAGTGCCGAAACAGAATATCGGGCCATGACTATGACAACGTGTGAGCTAGTTTGGGTCAAGCAGTTGCTCAAGGAGTTGAAGTATAGAACTAGTGTGTGATAATCAAGCTGCTTTTCATATTGCGACAAATCCGGTGTTCCATGAGAGGACTAAACTCGTTGAGATCGACTATCACTTTGTCAGAGAAAAGAGACTCTCAGAAGATATTGTTACAAAGTTTGTTAAGTCGAATAATCGGCTTGCAGATATTTTCACTAAGTCTCTTACTAGTTCTCGTATTAGTTACATCTATAACAAGCTCAGCACATATGATTTATATGCACTGGCTTGAGAGGGAGTATTAAATAATTAGTAATGCATAATGTCCCACATCGGGAAGTAGATGCCTATTATTATGTAATCACTGTATATAAATAGGGCATTGTACCACACTTTAGACATAATTAATAAAACTTTTCCGTGCTATACTTCTCACACTTACCTTTGGGTCTGCAAGCAAAACATCATCCAAAACAGGACCATTATTATGAACTTCCTGGTTCCTTATCATACTGCTGCTCCACTCAGGCAACCCAACATTCTACAAGCATAATGCAATGACTTATTCTTTTCGCCAAATAAAAAAGGAAGAAAGTAATATATGAACTATAACTAACTTATCAATTGATTGATAGATCAACCATCTTTCAAATACTTACAGAGAGGATGTAACTAAGATCAAGATGTCGAGTTTTCATTAATGATATATCTCGGGGTCTAAGTATATCTGTGCGTCCAATTATGTCATCCAGTTTCTCGTAACCTAGTTGAGCCAACATGCCCCTTACCTGGCCAATGATAGTAGAAAAAGAAATTAGCAAATACAAATAAAGGCGGGCCTGGCTGATGAGCTCAAACTAAAATTTTGCAGCAAATGAAAATGCCCATGACAGATAAATAGATGGTTCTAATTTCTAAAATCATCAAATAAAGGGTGTATTCTAAAATAGCAAAAGTAATGTATTTTCATTTATAATTTTGGTGTAAAGAGAAAATACACATATGTATTGGTAGCTGGGCTAACTTGATTTATGGTTGAACCATGTATTTGATAAAAAGAAAAAGAACCATTTCAACATATAATTAACCCTTTACTGTCCATTCTATTGTTTCTTCCCCAAGTTATCCAACACACATATAGGAGAAGAGGACTAAACGCCAGCAACCCAGTGACAGTTACATCAGATAAAAATTAGACGTACTGTTCCCCTCTAAGTTCCAAGCTAGCACTCCCTATGGCTAAAAAATTCCTACAGAATTTCAAGCGATCTAGAACCAAATGTTCACAAAGTACTTTTCCACAAATGGAAGGTTCTGAATCTCAAGCAATTTCAATTCAAAAATTCACAAGCTAAATTTTGTAGACCAACTTAAACTAAATACTATTTGCAAAGTATGTAAAGAGATGATATCTCTTTATCCCACAAGCGACAACATCAGAATCCCTTTGCACTATACTTACGTCAAAATTCAATTCATCACCCATGAGTAGAAGCTTACGCCCAAAAGACCTATAGTAAAATGATCAAGGTAACCATAACCTTTTGCAGAAAAAATTTACTCAGGAAGCAAAAAAGGAAATAAACAAACTATTCTTTTCCAAAAAATACAAAAGATCAAACAGAAAATAGAATTTCTTCAACCACATTATACATGTGAGCATAAGGTTACCTCTTCGGCAACATACAAAAAGTAGTTAACAAGGTCTCCTGGAACCCCTGGAAACCGAGCTCGTAATTCCTCTCTCTGAAAGTTTTGAGAAACAAAATTATACAGAAATTCATCAATTATCAATAAGCATGATAAAGATGATCGAAAACGAGACAATAGGCTACCTGACTGGCAACACCAACTGGACAATTATTTGTATGGCATATGCGGGCCATCACACAGCCCGTGGCTATCATTGCTACTGAACCAAATCCATACTCGTCTGCACCCATTGCTGCAGCCATCATGACATCAAATCCACTTTTAAATCCACCATCAACTCTAAGAACAACCCTTTCTCTTAACCCATTTTCTATGAGTGTCTGCACAGATCCGTTCAATAAAAAACATAAATAGAATTAGAAATAATTGAAGTATAAAAGGCAAGTTAGTAATGAGAAGAACTATTAGATAGACACTGGAAATGGCTCAATTCTGCAGTAAATAACCTGGTGCGTCTCTGTAAGTCCAAGCTCCCAGGGACCGCCAGCATGCTTAATTGAACTTACTGGGCTTGCTCCAGTTCCCCCATCATGACCTGATATCTGCAAATGATACAACCGCTCAAAAGACTTGATTTACTATGTCTAATTTTCCAAGTAAAATCTAGCACAAGCTTTCCATGTGTTTAAGAGTCCGCATTGGATGAGGGACCCTGTTAGATAGTTATGTAAATAATATGAATTAGTCCTAGTCCCCCATAAAATAGCAAGTAGGATATGTATTGTATAAATAGGGCTCATCACATTATAATTGAATAGAATATCAATAACATATCTTTCTCCCGTGCTTTATCACATGGTATCAGAGCATCGGTGAGAAAAAATCGTTGTGTGTCATTCCAGTGACATCCGAGAAAGAAAGAACTCAATCACCGTGTAATTTTCCTGTGACCTAAGTGATTGTTTACGTCAAAGTCACTATTTATCATTGTACAAACCAACACCACCACAAGGCACGCCGTAGTCCCCCGACCATAACCCATAAAACCCCACCGAAAAAATTCTACCATGCGCCCTCACGTGCCGGACAGACAAGAAATTTTCCGGCGAGATCTGTGTACGCGTTGGGCGCGTGAGACCTCTTCCACTACAGATTCCGACAACTTTGGAATTTTTCGGCAAGCTACTATGTTTTCCAACATGAGCAGTGATTTCCCACATGAACAGAGTTTTTTTTCCCCTGTTGTGAACAGTTTTCTCATATATTTCTTCAGATTTCCACTATTTCAAGTGAAAACTTGATTACCAACTCTATCAAACTAAGAAAACAAAATCTCCAGCTTAACTTGTTCTGATTTGGCATTTCAAGGTTAACCATACAATTTTTAGTCAAGCATTTGAGAAATTGGGTGTCGCGAAGTGGGATCCAATACTATGAATAGTTGGATGGTTTCTCTACTAGATTATATTGAGTTTCTTCAGTAAAAAGCATGTAAATAGACATCTTCAGAGATAGCTTCCGCGGTTCAAACACGTAATAGCGTGACGCGTGACTTATGTCTCCCAATATTCATCCTCTAGCTCTTGGGTCATTGATTTAGGTGCATCTGATCAGATTTCTGGTAACAATCTCTTTTCACTACTATTTCATATTCTTAATCTCTTCCAACAATCACAATGGCCACCGGGTCTCAAACCAGGGCAACTGGAATTGGTCAAGCAAGTCCACTTCCTTCTTTACCTTAGATTCAGTTCCTTATGTTCCGTGTAGTCCTTTTAATCTTATAGCAGTTAGTCGCTTAGCCAAATAACTTAAATGCTCTGTATTTGGTACCGGTCGTGAATCAAATGGACTTTATTACCTTATCCTTACTAAATCACATGGACTCACATCTTGTTTCCTTCAACAACTTGTCTTGTTACTAATTCACCAGATTTGTTACACAAACAGTTGGACATCCCAGTTTGTCAAAACTTTAAAAAATGGTATCTGGCTTATCTCATTTGTCCACTCTAGAGTATGAGTCATGTCAGCTCGATAAGCATACTCGTTCCCATTTCCCTCGACGTCCTGATAATCGAGCAGAGTCACCGTTTACTTTAGTCTATTCAGATATATAGGGTCCTAGTCGGGTCAGTTCTACCTTGGGATTCCGTTACTTTTTCAGTTTCATTGATGATTATTCCCGGTGCACTTGGATATTTTTGATGAAAAATTGATCTGAGTTGTATTTATTTTCAAACCTTCCACGCTGAAATTCAAAATCAATTTGGGGTTTCTATCCGCACGTTTTGTAGTGATAATGTCCTAGAGTATTTGTCTTCCCCATTTCAGCATTTTATGAACTCTCACGAAATTATTCATCAAACATCTTGTCAGTACACATCTCAATAAAATGGGGTAGCTAAAAGAAAGAATAGACATCTCATTGAAACTGCTCGTACCCTACTCATACAATCTCATCTTCCATTGCGTTTTGGGGGGATGCAGTTCTCACATCTTATTATCTTATTAATCGTATGTCATCCTCAGCTATCAAGAATCAAGTTCCATTCTCTGTCTTGTTTCCCTACTCACCTTTGTTCTCTTTTCCGCCCCGTTTCTTTGGGAGCACGTGTTTTTTTTTCATAACCTTACTCCAGGAAAAGATAAGTTAGCTCCTTATAATCTTTAAGTGCATAGTTTTTGGTTACTCGAGAACGCAAAAGGGATATCGATGCTTTTCACCTGATCTCCAGCAGTACCTTATGTCTGCTAATGTTACCTTATTTGAAACCCAGTCATACTTCATAGGTCCGGGTGATCACTTAGATATTTCTGAGGTGCTACCAGTTTCATCTTTTGGAGATTCAGTCACTATCTCAAATTCATCTTCCTCCACAACTCAACTCCACCACCTACAGCTCTAGTTTCAGCTCCACCACCTATAGCTCCAGTTCTATCACCTAGTCCAGTTCAACTTTCTACAGCTCCACCACTCCTGACTTATTATCATTGTCCATACCCAGCATCTGGCCCAACTGATTCACGTCATGCACCTAACTCTGCTCTTACGATGGACTTGTCTCCTCCTAGTCCACCGGTTGCACTTCAAAAAGGTATACGGTCCACACTTAATCCTAATCCCCATTATGTCGATTTAAGTCATCATCGTCTTCACCCCATTATGCGTTTGTATCATCTTTGTCCTTTATTTCCATCCCCAAGTCTACGGGTGAAGGACTGTCTCATCCAGGATGGCGACAGGCTATGATTGACAAGATGTCTGTTTTACATACGACTAGTACTTGGGAGTTTGTTCCTCTTCCTTGAGGTAAATCTACTGTTGGTTGTCGTTGGATATATGCAGTCAAAGTTGGTCCAGATGGCCAGGTTGATCGACTTAAGGCTCGCCTTGTTTCCGAAGTGTATACTCAGATATTTGGGCTTCATTACAGTGATACTTTCAGTCTCGTGGCTAAAATAGCATCAATGTGTCTTTTTCTATCCATGGTTGTTATTTACTATTGGCCTCTTTATCAGTTGGACATTAAGAATGTTTTTCTTCACGGTGACCTTGAGGATAAGGTTTATATGGAGCAACCACCTGATTTTGTGCTCAAGGGGAGTCTAGTGGCCTTTTATGTCGGTTGCGCCGGTCCCTCTATGGTCTAAAGCAGTCTCCTTGAGCCTAGGTTGGTAAGTTCAGCACATTTATTCCGGAGTTTGGCATGACCCGTAATGAAGTTGATCACTCTTTGTTTTATCTGCATTCTACTTCAATCTCCGTATTTATTTGGTGGTTTATGTTGACGATATCGTTATTACCGGCAATGATCAAGATGGTATTACTAAGATGAAGAACCATCTCTTTCAGCATTTTCAAACTAAGGGTTTGAGAAAATTAAAGTATTTTCTAGGTATTGAGGTAGCTCAGTCTAGCTCAGGTATTGTGATTTCACAATGAAAGTATGCATTGGACATTCTTGAGCAGACATGAATGATAGGTTGTAGATCTATTAACACTCCTATGGATCCAAATTCTAAACTGCTATCGGGACAGGGGGAGCCGCTTCGCTATCCTACAAGATATAGGTGGTTGATTAGTAAATTAAATTACCTCACAGTGACTAGACCTGACATTTCCTTTACTGTGAGTGTTGTGAGTCAGTTTATGGATTCTCTCTGTGATAGTCATTGGGATGCAGTTGTCTGCATTCTTCGGTATATAAAATTAGCTCCATGAAAAGGATTATTGCTTGAGGATCGAGGCCATGAGAAGATTGTTGGATACTCTGATGCTGATTGGGCAGGATCACCTTCTAATAAACGTTCTATGTCTAGATATTGTGTTTTAGTAGGAGGTAATTTGGTATCTTGGAAGAGCAAGAAACATAATATGGTTGCTCGGTCTAGTGCATTAAATACTATGAATATGTCCTAGTCCCACATAGAATAAGAGTAGGATATATACTGTATAAATAGGGCTCATTATATCAATAATCTATTTTTCTCATGTGCTATCTCACAAACCCATTATATGGCCTTGAGTTGGGCAATCCTCACTTCATGAGCTAGCTTTTAGGTTGAATTAGACCCAAGATTCATTTTATTAACAAGGGAGCAGAGCCAAACCCATCCCAATTCCTAGTTATGTCGGGTTCCGATGTTATGTTGTCCACGCTAAAAATGTTCAATCCTGGGCGTTGCGGGGAATTGGGGTATTAATTGTACATGTTGGTTAAGGGAATGGATTATTGTCTCCTTATATGGTCTTGGACAATCCTCACCAAATGAGGTACCTTTTGAGGTTGAGTTAAAGCCAAGGTCCATTTTCTTTAACACAACAACAACAAACCCAGTATATTTCAACATGTGGGATCTGGATTTTCATGAACACCCATGCAACAAAAAAATTATAATTACATTTTAGATTTAAAAAAAAAAAGAACTCAAGACATTTTAAGAGGACAAACATCACTCCATGCGACCAAATTGATGAGATCTAGAAAAACTGACATGAGAAGATTAATACGGTTTAGACAAGTATAATGAATATTTAAAGAAAATCAAAACATTAAGTTGAGATAATAACGTCTATAACCATCTTTGACATTTCAAGATAAGTCATCACATAGAGCCAAAACACCCACACACGCACCCACACACAAAAAAAATATCTCTGGACAATAAATATGCCTTCAAGTGTTAATATTACATAACTGAATATGATTACAGCAACTACTACCATGTTTTAACTCCAAACTAGTTGAAGCAAGCTATATAAATCATCTATATTTGATAAGAGCTCCATTTTGGGCCTGTTTGTTTCACTACTCAATTTTCTAATGACAGGGACTCACAAATCTCACACTTATCCCTATGCTGGCATTCAATCTCTAACCAAACTAAAGGACTCATTGTCAAAAGTCAGACCTAAAATAAATATACCAATAACATTGAACCTTAATACAAACTAGTTGGTACAGCTTATGTGGATACTTTGTTTCCATTGTGTTCTGTTCATAATTAAGTCCGCATAAATTATGAGATTGTAAATCTTCTGAGATAATTTCTCACAATACGATTTTAGATCTAAATCGTCCTCTTTAGCACCTTCAATCATCATAATGTCGCACCTATAGAGCATTACATTTGGGGTCTAATATTGTCTAATCTTATACACAACCATCCTTCTTAACATCATCATTCTACAACACTAATCTTGCGAATATGTTAGGCTTTAAAAGTCGAATATTATCTTCCATCTAACATTTATGGTCTCATAACAGTTCTATAAAACTTGCCTTTCACTGAAGGTATTCTCCTATCACATAACACTCCCGTAGCACCTTTTCAGCCATCTTACTCTAATTCTATGTGTTACATCTTCATCTATCATGACATTCTCCTGAAAAACTGCGCATAAATATCTAAATTCTCTACAAGAAGCTCCAATGAACATGTTACAAAGGTATAAACTTCTCCTCCCCCCAACATCCCACTCCCACTCCCATACAAGAGAAGCTCTTCACCAAATACATCACAAAAGACCGGCAACTGTTAAACACTAGAGCAAATATGAGCGTTTTTTTAATACAGAACAAATATGACCTTGTGAGGCATGACTTGCCAAGACTATACAAATGATTTTACTTTGGTGTAGTAAGCAATTATTCAGACCTAATTCACCATCATAGGAGAAACCATTAATTCAATTCTGTAGCTTAGATACAAATTGATGGTATATGAAAATGTCTTGTCATGTTTCATCTACTATCTCCACATGATGTGTCAAAATTGCAAAATCAATTGCCAAGGAGATGTTCATATTCAATTTTGAACCCAACATGGAATCATTCCTTGTTTCCATTTCAGACCTAATAACTTTAAAGGTAAATTAGCTTTAGGATTACAATATCGTAACAATTATAATTATAAAAGATGACTCCCGCCTTTCCCTCCAATCTATACAAATAGATAATTTAAATCTTATTTTAACAACAATGCCAGAGCCAAACAGCTTAATTCAATTTGACATAAAAAGGATGTGAGTCAACCAACTGTTACATCCCGAAAAAGGAGATGTATCAAACACAAGGCCACATCAAAAATGCTGACTACAACATTTGAAAGTCAACAATTTTTCACTTCATGTTGGATTCAGTTCTCAACAAAATTCAGCGACTGCAAAAGACTGTCACTTTTCTATTGGAAATGCCTTTGATATGGGATAGGGCACTTGGACCAATCAACTAAACATTATAATGATCTTTTGGATTTAATCATGAAAAAAGTAAAAAATAATGGTCTTTTGGATTTCAACTCCTAGAAGAATTGCAAGTTGTTTTAACTTTGGAGGGAAAGGAACATGGGAGCCTCTGAAGGTGTGAAAATGATGATGAGCAGATGAAGACCTGTCTTTTGTTGCTAGTTGATTTATGGTACAAACATGGGTTAGACTTTGAAGAAGAGCATGTTTTTGTATAAGTCTAGTTTTGTGTACCACTTATCTACTGGGAATTCTTCCACCGCATTAATAAACTATTACTTCATAAAAAAGAAAAAGAAAATTGCAAGTGGTTCACCATAACAGCCAGCTGCAAAATATCAGCTAACTAGGCTAGCTAGCAGTTAGCTGCAAAATCTCTCTCTCTCTCTCTCTCTCTCTCTCTCTCTCTCTCTCCCTCTCCCCTTTTGATTTCATGGCCAATTTCTCTTCTTTCCTTTTGATTTCAGCTCAATCTCTGATCAGGTCAAAGCACAAAGAACGCATATAAAAGCCACAAATATGAAAGACTACCTGTATAATATCAGCATTTCCCTTTGCCACCCCAGAAGCCACAGTACCAATACCAGCTTCTGCCACAAGCTTTACAGATACCTTTGCTCTTGGGTTGACCTGGTCATGAGTGAAAATGAAAATCAACAAATAAGCTTTACAGACACCTTAGCTTTTGGGTTGATACTGCTCATGAATGAAAATCACAATTAAAAGGAACAAATAAGCACGTCTTTCACCTGATGAAGGTCATAAATCAATTGAGCAAGATCCTCAATAGAATAAATATCATGGTGTGGTGGTGGAGATATAAGAGGAACTCCAGGTTTTGAATTCCTTAATCTCGCAATGTAAGCGCTAACTTTTTTACCAGGCAATTGGCCACCTTCACCTGGCTTTGCACCTTGAGCAATTTTGATTTCTAACTGGTCAGCATTGGCTAAAAATGTAGGAGTGACACCAAAGCGTCCTGAAGCAACCTGAAAAAGTAGTAAGGAAGTCAAGTGGGTTCCCAACTAGTCCTCAGGAAAACAACCTACCAATAAAACGGACCAACAATCACATCAAGAGATATGAAGAGCAAACTCATAGTGCACATACCTGCTTAATTGCGCTTGTGGCAGTATCTCCATTTTGAAGACCTTTAAGGTGTGGGAGTGTTGGAGAATATCCATCAACAACATCAGTAAGTGGTTTCCAGCGAATTGGATCCTGTTTGAAGTTAACAGATCAAACAACATCATTTGTGTAGCATACTCTGTAATAAAGAAACTATGCCAATAGCAAAGCAAATGAAATATGGATAGTGCTCAACAGGACACTAGTATAACTTACCTCACCACCTTCTCCTGAGTTCGATTTTCCACCCAATCTATTCATTGCAATTGCAATAGCTTCATGAGTTTCCCTCGAAATAGCTCCAAGAGACATGCCACCAGTGCAAAACCGCTGCACTATTGCTGAAGCAGGTTCAACCCTTCCAACTGGTATAGGTGAACGATCACTTTTGAATTCAAGAAGATCTCTAAGAACCTGCAGTAAATAGATATCATCAAAATGATGATTTATTTTGGTGTATTTCACATTTTCTTTCATTTTTAATAGATTGAACAACACGGGATATTACTAGAATGTCCATGACAGCAATTACTATTAATGCATCTTATGCATCCGCTCTTTCAGGAGTGATATTTGAGTGCGCATATGCATCAGGAGAGGGAGAATACATAAAGACCCCCCTAAACCAGTCCGTGATTTTCAAAAAGACACTTAAACTTTGCGACGGTCCTACTACTCTACTATCTTTATCCGAAATGTATCCTTTACCCCCTTCCACTGCAAAGACCACTATAAAAGTAGCGTGTTTTAGACACGCGCTACCACGTGTCAAAATGTTTAAGAAAAAGAAAAAGTAAATTTCCTTCTTCATATTACCCATCCAACTTCCCCACCCCTTCTCCTTCTTCCCCAACAAAACCCAGCGGCCTTCTTCCCTAAACCAAACCAAGCAGGGCTCCAAAGTGAGGGTCTCTTTTGACCAATCCTGATTTTTAAAAATCTTTTTCTGTCCTTTTTATTAAGATTAATTGAATTGATATCCACAAAATGAAAAAGCGCAGGAGAATAACCAGTTTTAGGATGGTTGTCTTTGAGGAAAATGAAAGAGAGTCGTAGAGCCAAGTAGCAGATGATGTGTACTCTGAATGTTTTCATGAATTTCTCTGAGAATAACATCTTTATTGAATGATGTTGAAGATGAGAGACCCATTTCTGGTATAACACTATAATGTATTATATTCTCCTTCTTGCCAAAACAAACCCAGAGCTAACCAAAGGGACTAATTGGGTGCAGTCATCCCCAGCGAATGAACATCATAAGGTTGGATTCTTCAGTACTCCCCACCTGGTTGTGCTAATTTCCTTTATCTAGTTGTGCTTAATTTTTTTTATCTGGTGTGGCTTTTAATCTGGTTGAGTCTGGATTTAAATGGAGTTTTGACGCTGAAGGTTGGTGATTAAAATGGTGGTGATGGGTGTTGTGGCTTGTTAAAATGGTGGTGATGGGTGTTGCGGCTGAGTAGTTGGCCAGATCAGATTTGCATTTGAACCAATTTTTGGCTTTTCGCTGGATATTTTCCAGTCACCAACAAATTTTCCGTTGGGATAAGAAGAAAAAGTATAGAAAGAAAAGGTAAAGAGAAATGAAAATAAATGAAGTAAAAAAAAAAGTTTAATAAGAAAATGCTGTAAAAAATAATTTTTCTACCTTTTCTTTCACCTCATGCAAATGGTGCAAACACTATAGATGCCACGTGGGCCTAAAAGGTGCTATTTGTACCACTTGGAACAACTATATGGGGGTCATAGGACCCTTGTAGAGTTTAAATGTCTTTTAATCAGGAACTAGTTTAAGAAGGTCTTTATGTATTTTCCCCCATCAAGAGATGCATATACTCAGTAGTAAACTACAGGATGAAATCAGATCTCCAGATGATAAGAAATGGAAAAATGTCCAATCACAAGAAACAGAAACAATTAAAACAACTCACATTTACAGGTCGATTAGCCAAATGCTGCTGATAAACTGAATATGCACTTCCACTCTTTTGGCGAACAGCTTTATGGAGCAGTTTTGACATCTCTGGGTTGTTTCCATGATATTCACCTTTTAATTAAAGGGAAGAGAGACAAAATGAAAACCAAACGAAGATCAGAGTATTACCTACATAAAGAGATGATGCAAGGAATACTGACTAATAGCCGTCAAGACTTCATCTTGAAACAAAGATACCACTACTTTTCATTTCCCAATGCAAAATGGTTAAAGGAGTATCTTTTGATTCACAAAATACAGCTAGCAATCACATCCATATTTCACGAAAGCACCAGATTGCGACACTTAATGATTTAAGGTTAGTGTACCACATTGATTTTTGCTTCATCTGATACAAAAGTTTATAATATATGCTTCTAAGAAAGCAGGTTTCTTGGAGGAACTTGAAACTACAGGACTAGACAGCAGGTAGACGTGATGCTGTTATTTCTTGGATCCTTCGTTCTCTCAAAATAGACTCCATAAAAATGCGCACAGAGGGGGACGGAATAGAATCAAAGCTGTCTTCACTGAAGTCCGGCAAAGTTACCAGTTATTCTCTGGTCAGGCATCGAAAGGTGAAGGGTGACAGAAGCAAATCGCCATTTTCTAGGTTACTTCTCTTATCCTTTCAAATGTTCGTTTAAAAGTAACTTAGTCAATATGGAAGAAAAATAAGTTACATTTTATACATCAGATTAATATTGCTCAAATCTTGCAATCGAGCATGAAATGGACAACGTGATCCGCATCAAGATTTGGCAAGTCTTTATTCTTCATTCTAATATTTCTAAACTTATAGCGTACAGATGGCCAGTCGAACATCTTATTTAGACAAACATTTAATGTTTCTCAGACAATAGCATTTGCATATTAATACAGGGTTCTTTTGTTCAAGCAGTTTTCCTTCTTAGTCAAATTTAGAAAGTCAACAACTGAGATATGAAATGGCAGCACCATATCTTCCCTCAAGTGAATGTGGTCAAGCATCTTATCTGAATTTCCTAGTCAGTTCCTATGTAATGCGTCTAACTGCTCTCCTTTAATGCTTTAAGTATGAAACAGCTAGCGGAAATATCAGCTTTTTCTTGTGAGTTCCTCTTCTTCCATCCCACTCTCTCTGTCCTCATTCATCTCTCTGCCTCCCTCGCACACAGAGAGATAAAGAAATAGAATGCCAAGGCTGTTTAATACAGCCTGGTATTGCTTCCTCAAGGTAAGAGGTAACTCTGACCTACCTCTATACAAGCTATTGGAGTTTAGAATGTTAAGATTTTCCAGACATGGATAAAGAAATAGAATACTCAAAAGATGGAATGCCCCAAGGCTGTTTAACTTTGTTCCACTTAGCGGACCACAATTACGCGTTGACATGAAAATTCATTTAGTAAGGCTTGGTATTGCTTTCCTAATGACCTACCTCCTTACAAGCTTGGAGTCTAGCATGTTGAAAAATTCTACCTGAGTGCACAGATCCAATGTTTTCGTCCGGAATTAGCTTTCTAGATGACACGAGAAACAGACACGGTATGTCCAGGCTTTAAACAACACTAAAGGTCAATTAATTTTACAACGTTGGCTTAGGTTCCATAGATCTGGATACTGCATAATGTAAAAAAGAAATATAATTCCACAACCTTTAGTTTTCAGCCTCTAGAAAAATATACCTCCTTGTCTGAATTGTATGAACCCATAATTCTCTAGTCGTTTTGCTGTATCTTCAGAGAAAGCCTTCACCCAGAATGATAAGGTCTCTCTTGCCAGCTGCAAAAAGCTCATATTGTAAGTATACTGCCCATGCCATCAGAGCTAACATTTTGGAGAACTTCAGAGATGAAGGTAAACTTCTAATTAACTGTTCATGTCAAACTGTCAACATATTATGCAAAAAAGTGAAACATACATCCATGTCAATTCTAGACAAGACATTTCCGCCAAATCAAATCAACAGTTTTTCCAGCAGTCTGATTGGCCCAGTGCAAAAACCAACTAACAATTTGCATATCAATATTTAAAGCTAAAGCTCACAAAATAGATATCCCACTGAAACTGGAACTAACAGGTTACACACTCTCAATATACTTGCAAATTCCGGCACCTAAGGGTACTACTGTCAGTGGGGTTAACTTCAGAGGTCAGCGTCTCTCAAGCAACTGGTGTGAATATCCCGGCACCTAAGGGTACTACTGTCAGCAATGCTATGGTCTTGTATTCCTCAGGCGGGAGCAAGGAAGGGGCACTTATAGAAGATGCATGTCCAATTTCGTCACGTAGTGGAGGGGATTTATCATTCTGGATGGAGGAGAAACTGTTAAACTTTGGAAAATTTTTGGGAGTTTCTTCTGAAGGAAAGGAGGATAGGGTGTTAGAACGGTTGAGGGAGATTGAGCAACAGTCTTTCTTTCATGGTAAAGGGAGGGAGTCGAGTCAAGGGGGTAGGCAAAAAAATTTAGGGGATGTAGTGGTGTATCAGAGAAGGGGTCGGGTGTGCGACAGGGGGAAAGGAAGTTCGCTATGGTGGGAGGGGAAGAAGGGGACATTGTTGCTTATGGAAGTTAAGATCCTTTCATGGAATGTGAGGGGGATGAATGACCCAAACAAAAGGGCCATCATCAAAGTGGGAGTTAGAGAGTGGGGTGCCAAACTAGTTTGTTTTCAGGAGACCAAAATGGAAGTTCTGTCAGATGCAATTGTGAGGAGTGTCTGGGGAGGTAGTTGGGTAAATTATGACTATGTCCCAGCAGTGGGAAGTGCCGGGGGCATCCTTCTTATGTGGGATGATAGAAGTCTGGAGGTAAAGGAGATTAAGAAAGGGGTATTTTCTCTAGCAACTCTTGTCAAAGATAGAGGGAGTGGGGTAAAGTGGGTATTTGGGGGAGTGCATGGCCCAGTGGGAGAAGGGTTCAAGGCGGTCTTCTGGGAGGAACTGGTGAATGTTATGGGGGAATGGGATATTCCATGGGTTCTAGAGGGAGACTTTAACACTATCAGATTCCCGGAGGAGAGATTAGGGTATAGTATGATTTCAAGGGCCATGGAGGAGTTCTTTGACTTCATTAATGATCAGTTTCTCATCGATCTTCCTCTGTCAGGGGAAAGGTTTACTTGGGCCAGGGCGGAGGAATCAAACTCAAGGTCTAGACTTGATAGATTTCTTATATCGACCTCATGGGATGAGTTGCTGCCGAATGCGCTTCAGCTTCTTTTACCGAGGCTGACTTCGGAAATTTGCCCATCATGCTTGATGGACGAAAAAAGTAAGAAACATTTTCCTAGTTCAAAACAATTCAAGGAAGAGAAGTCCAAATTAGTTCAAACAATTCAAAGTGGAGAAGTCCAAAATTCGTTCAAAACTATTCGGGGAGCAGAAGCTTGTAATCATGAGATATCTGTTTTTTATTGATATTTGATTGGGCTGGTCTGGATATGTTTTTGGTAAACCCTAAGAAAACGCAAAACCTGATTTTGACTGAATTGCCGGTATTTTCGGAGGTCAGCGAACTTTACGGACTCTGATTGAGCTGAAATTTGGTTGGTCCATCGAAAACGGCGTGGTGAGAAAAACTTACTTCTTTAGCAGTAAATCATGGTGTTTACCAAAGGGAATATTCTATTGAATATTCTATTGAATATTCCCTTTGTTGGTTCCAAAGCTATACTAGCCGTTACTTCTGTCCCTGCTCCTCGCGCTGCCTACCACANAGACGGGTCGAATGGGGAGCCCACAGGCCAGCGTCCGGAGCGCGCAGATGCCGAAGCACGCCGGAGGCGCGCGCTGCCTACCACAATCAAGGAGACGGCGTTCCACGGGCGTATCGAAAGCCCGGGCTTTGGCCGCCCCCCCAATCCACACTGGTCCACGCCCCGAGTCGATCAGCGGATCGGCTCAACACCGTTCCACATCCGACCGGGGCGCATCGCCGGCCCCGATTTGATGTGTCAAGTTAAGCAGGGGGATGAAGAAGATGCAGCAGAATCTCCAAAAGGCACAGAGGAACCTGGTCCCTCTATCACCTCGACAGAAGGTGAACATAGGGTTTCTGATGTTGCATCAGGTACTCCTGATGCAGAACAAAGAAGTGAAAGTCAAGCAAATGAGCTCCGATTTCTGTTTTTATGGAAGCATTAGATCTGTATCGTAATTAAGGAGCCATAATAAAAAGAATCGTCGAATTTTGACATCGTATGAGTCGATATGTGACGATAATTGAGTACCTCGGGAGGTTCTCTTGAAGGCTGATTTTTCGAAGCCTTTTTGCTGAAGGCTGATTGTCTCAAAGCCTTTTCATTGTTTGGAGCTGATATGATCGAAGCTCCTTTGCTTATGCCGGGGGTAGCCTGATTAACCGGTTCTTTTCGAAGTATTTTCGAAGTATTCGAAGGCCTTTATTCCAATGTTGTATCAATGAACAGTTTACTCCGTTGGAAACTAGACTCATAGATCTTTAATTTGGTAGGTATATCATCCCGTAATTCCATGTACATCGGGAGAATTGCTCAACTACATTTGATCGCAGGACATGGCCATGGCATGCGTCAGGAAGTCGCAGGACATGGCAGGACATGGCCATGGCACGGGTCCGCTCGTGTCAGGACGTCGCAGGACATGGCCATGGCACGTTGTTAAAAAAAAGTTTGTGGGCCAAATGACTATTTTTTAAACTTCCCAACGGCTGAAATTAAGGGCCAACGGCTACTTTTTTAATTTCTAGCAGTTGGTCTTTTAAAAAAAAATTTAATTATGGGCCAGAACCGATGAGGTTTGCCTACATATCTCACATCCGGTGAGAATCAGACCCGCATAATTCGCCCGTTTTTACGAAACAAGAAAAATATGACTTATTTTGAAATGACTTTTCTTTTTTCAAAATTTCGGAAGAGTTTCAGAGCAACAAAGGTCGTCCTGGTTCCAAGGGACAAGAACTGGTGGTGCGGACAGGTACTCCTTGATCTTGTCAAAAGCTTTCTGACAATCCTCGGTCCAACTTGTCTCGGCATCTTTCCTCAGCATGAGTTATACGGGTACGGTTCATTTGACCGTTTGACCCTTACAATAAATCCTAATATTCAAGCCTGGGCTTTCAATGCTGAATAGGAGTGCTTTTTAAATTTTCTAACTTAGGTCTTTGGTTTGGAGTCCCCAGGGCTCGGGTGAGTTTCGGGTAGGTTCCGGGGTGTCTTAGGCTTAAAACATGGCTATTGGAGGACACACCTTAGTAATCCCAAATCAGGAGTCCTCCTGTACAGGACTCCTCCGTTGTGAAAGAAATTGTTGGATAACCTCCGAAGCGTGCGCTTTTGAATAGCGTTTGCGAGCTCTGGGTAGTCTCCTTTCGCCAAGTATTCCTTGATATCATGAACCAAGGCCATCTTCCTAGGCCTTTTCAATCAGCACTTCAGGTTTTTCATGGCGCTTCAGGTGGCCGTGGTTCTTATATGCAATATTCTTATCAGCAACCCTACAGTGCACCACCAACTCCTATCCTCGCCACCCGAGAACATGTGGTTGAAAGTGCCCGGATTTGGCGACAAAGTGAAAGAATGGTGGACAAGCTACGAGGTAACAGGGACACCTTCATTCCGTCTTTCAAAGAAACTTAAGTTGCTTAAGGGAGATATCATTAGGTGGAATAAGGAGGTCTATGGGAGGGTAGAGGTTAGAATGAGGGAGCTCATGCATGAATTGGGGGAATTAGAGAGAGTGGAAGGGGCGAGGGAGTTAGATGAATCCGAGAAGGCAAGGCTGGGGGAGGTGAAGAAAGAGGTAGTTGATTTAGCAATAGCTCAGGAGACTAGTTGGCGGCAAAAATCGAGGGCGCTCTGGTTAAAGGGGGGGACTCGAACACCATGTTTTTTCATAGGGTCGCGGTCGCAAATCGGAGGAGAAATTACATAGACTCTTTAGATGTGGATGGGGTGAGGACTGAGGGTGAGGAGGAGGTAAAGGAGGCGATAGTGGGGTTTTATGAGAATTTATACAAAGAAAAAGAAAGTTGGAGGCCTACTTTGGGGGGAATAGATTTCAACCACATAGGAGAGGGAGACAGCGTATGGTTAGAAAGGGCTTTCGAGGAGGAGGAGGTGCACGAGGCGGTGTCGAGTTGTGATGGTGATAAGGCACCCGGACCTGATGGTTTCTCCATGTCCTTTTTCCAGTTATGTTGGGACATTATTAAGGGGGAGTTGTTGGAAACAATTGAATACTTTCACGAGAACAGTGTCTTCGAGCGAAGTATCAATGCTTCTTTTATTACCATCGTGCCTAAAAAAGAAGGTGCATCTTCTATTAGAGACTACAGGCCTATTAGTCTTGTGGGGAGCATTTACAAGATTATTTCCAACATGTTATCCAACAGACTCAAGAAGGTTCTTGACACTACTGTTTCGTTATCCCAGAATGCTTTCATGGAAGGTAGGCAGATCCTTGACGCCGCTTTGGTGGCGAACGAACTTGTTGACTCAAGAAGAAAAAATAGAGAACCCGGCTTACTCTGCAAGTTGGACCTTGAGAAGGCGTTTGACCACGTCAACTGGGAGTTCCTGGATTTCATTATGTTGTGGATGGGGTTTGGGGCAAGATGGAGAGGATGGATCAAGTACTACATTTCATCAGTCAGATTCTAGGTCCTGGTAAATGGTAGCCCGTATGGCTTCTTTAGCAGCTCCAGGGGTCTCATGCAAGGCGACCCTCTATCCCCAATGCTATTCATTCTAGTGATGGATGCTCTGAGTAGAATGATGGATCGTGCGGCAGCAGGAGGATTCTTGAGAGGTTTCTCAGCTCCAATCGGGGCTAATAGTGGCAGAAGAGTATCCCATTTGCTCTTTGCGGATGACACTCTGGTTTTCTGTGATGCAGATATGGATCAGTTAACACACTTGAAGTACATACTACAGTAGTTTCAGATTGTATCCGGGCTCAGAATCACCTCGGCAAGTGTGAGATTTTTCCGGTGGGAGAGGTGAATTACATCGATGTTTTGTCCCATGTCCTCGGTAGCAAGGTTGGCTCACTTCCTACTGCCTACCTGGTACTTCCTTTGGGATCTTCGCATAAGGATACTACAGCCTGGAATCCAGTGATTGAAAGGGTAGAAAAAAGATTAGCAGGTTGGCAGAAACGGTACTTGTCAAAAGGCGGTAAGGAAGTGCTTATTAAAAGCACCTTATCGAGTATTCCCACCTACTACTTATCCCTGTTGCAAGCCCCTACGAGCATCACAGCAAAACTGGAGCTGCTTCAAAGGAATTTCCTATAGGATGCGGCTGATGGAACTAGAAAGTTTCACCTTGTGAATTGGCAGTCAGTCACTACCCCAAAAAGGTGGGGTGGACTTGGAGTAAAAGATCTCAGGGTATTCAACCGAGCTCTGCTGGGGAAGTGGCTGTGGAGATTCGGTGTGGAAGACCACGCTTTATGGAGGGAGGTCATCGTAGAAAAATATGACTACACAGAAGGGGGTTGGAGGACCAAGGCAATCACAGCACCTTTTGGTTGTGGCATGTGGAGGAGCATTATGAAGAATTGGGAAGTATTCGATGGCAACATAACTTACATGGTGGGCGATGGAAGGAGAATAAGCTTTTGGCATCAGAGGTGGTGTGGAGAGAATACTCTGAGCGCCTCTTTCCCACACGTCTTCAGAGTTTCAAACCAGAAGGAATTGATGGTTCATCAAATTTGTAAGGAGCATGAAGGGGGGTTAGTATTTAGAAGAAACATGCAAGATTGGGAGATTGCAGAACTCCAAGACTTGTTGACAATTCTGTACGGGCAAGACTCGCCCCGGCCCTCTAGTGATTCTTGGAGATGGGGATTGCGTGCCGATGGTTTGTTCTCCGTAAAGTCGTTCTACCAGAGTATGTTGGTGAGAGGGGAGACAACTTTCCCTTGCTCATCGGTATGGGTTCCTAAAGCACCCACGAAGGTGTGTTTTTTTGCATGGCTAGCAGCGAGGGGTGTGATTTTAACTGCGGAAAATCTGCGAAAGAGAGGAATTACACTTGTTAGTTGGTGCTACATGTGTAAAAGCTCGGGGGAAGAAGTCGATCATCTTTTGTTGCACTGCCCTGTGTCATCGGCCTTGTGGAGGGCAATTCTGAATCTTTTTGGTGCTCAATGGGTGATGCCAAGCTCTATAAAGGAAATGCTATACAGTTGGGCCGGTCTACGAAGAAGAAGAAAACGAAAGGCGTGGAAGTTCGCACCGCTAGCTCTCATGTGGATAGTTTGGGGTGAGAGAAATAAGAGAGCTTTTGAAGGGGTTGAGTCTCCTTTCTCAAATCTTAAGAGTAGGCTTTTTTCTTTGATTGCTTTTTGGTGTACCCATATAGGCCCTACTTGTGTGGAAGATTGGGCGTCTTTCATAGAGAATCATGTCCTGATGTAAATTCTCTATTTTGTTGTATAAATCTTGTATAAGGGAGTTTTCCCCTACCTTTGATTAATACAATTTACCTTATCAAAAAAAAAAATATATACTTGCAAATTCCATTACTTTCAATACCTTTCTTCTGTTGAAGTACATTTTCTAAACTAATACCACTTTTGCATTTTCCATGATGAATGCGATCAGTATCTTATGCTATGTACTCAAGAAAACAATTAAAGACGCGAAAATTTATATTACAGATCAGATACAACCAAAATCGTTTTAAAGGTCAAAGACAGCTGATGTATAGCATGTATAGTACATTGCACAGGGCTCCATCAGCACTGTAATAAGATTACTTGATCAGCTTGCTAAATAGAATTAAGGAATTTCACTTTGAAATCGAGGACGCTCACAGCTCAGCTAACAGTCCACTCATAGTGTCCCAATCATTAAAAAGCGACCCTTAAAGAAGAATTCAAGTGTACCACAAAGACTGCGAAAGTAAAGCTCCACACTGAGTGAAGAGTATAAATGAAAAACTTCTTTTAATAGTCTTAGTCCAAATAGTTCTGGCATGCTATAGCCTTACTACAGAGAATTATATCCAACAACAACAAAAAACCCAATGTAATCCCATAACTGAAGTCTGGGAAACTACAGAGAATTATATCCCTGATTAAGAACTTGGTTTCTAGAAGGTTCACAGACCTCATGTTCCGAAAGAAGCAATGTCATCAATGTGGTTTCCTGGCTACTATTGGGGTTGATGTTTCCTACAGTGGGATGTGAGGGGTGCACTAGAAAAGGGAAAGGAAAGAAAAATGAGAGGAAAACGGAAAGAAAGTGAGAGGGAAATAAGTGGGCCGCAGAAGAAAAACTTTATTCTCCCTCCACTTTTCCTCTTTCTTTTGGCATACCAAGCAAGGGAAGAGAAAATCTACATAGTCTGCACTCCTCATTTCGTTCACCTAATTGGCAACAAAGGTTAAGAGTTGTAGCACTATATGCCAAAAGTGATGCTAGATAATAAACCATCCACAGATCAGATGATTCATCTCATCAATACCTCATCAAGGGTCAATCCACCGATGCTCGATTTACTGCCACAGAATGCAACATCTACGACCTCCTTTCCCAATCCATAGATTTCAAATATTTGTGCACCACAATAACTGAACCAAATAATTTTTTGTGAGAGAAGCAGATGAGGAAACATAGAAAGGTAAATTGCAATAAAGAAGACAGAAAAAGCAAGAAAAAGCTACAACAGGAAAATTGCTGCTCAAACTATATTGGAAGTAGATACCTCGAGAGCAAGGAGATTCCCATTTTTGAAAGAATTTTGAGAAGGCCAGATTTAACTGCCTGCAATTGAGGGAAAAAAGATCAAGTCAATGTCTGCATTATGGACTGCAAGCATCTTCAAGTTGCATCATCAAATGGTTACAACAACAACAACAACGACCCAGTGAAATCCCACTAGTGGGGTCTGGGGAGGGTAGTGTGTACGTAGACCTTACCCCTACCCCGAAGGAGTAGAGAGGCTGTTTCCGAAAGACCCTCGGCTCAAGAAGACAAAAAGACAAAAGGAGACAATATCAGTAACACCACAGAAATAATATGAAATAATATGAAAAACATGAACAACATGAAATCAAGAAGAAAGATACAAAGCAAAAGTAAAATAGTATCCCTACCAAACTAGTCTCATAAAGTTATGCATCACCAAACGGTTATGTAGGTAAAATGAAAAGGCACTTCTGAAGCCCTAAATTCCACTAGCAAAATATATCTCCGATGTGCTTTTTTAAAATGCCAACCAGGAAACAGTAATTTAGTAAGCATACTTTCACCAAAGATGCATACCTTGCAAAAGTTCTTTTGAGCTTGTTCAATGGTAACAGTAGGCATTTTCCCATTCCGCATCAATTTCACAGTTTTAGTGCTCAAGCGCCACTGTCGACATGTTTCGAATGCCAAGTATGGACACACAGCACTGAATGAAGAAAGAATATATAAGTATGTCTTTGCCTGAATGTTTAAACAACAGCAGACCTGACCCCAGATGTATACGTTAAGGGCAAAAGAGAACTTTACCACAGTGATAAATCAGATTGAAGAACTAATCTAATAAGTTAAGAGACAGATCATAGATAAAGTGAGTGGTATGTCATACAGACTGAACGATACATTTCTCAGCCTTTTGGCTAAGATTAAGTTCAGAATCTGTTCTGATCAGTTTAATATCTGATGATATTAACTCAATATGTCAAACAGACTGAACAAAAGAACACGGATCGATGCGCTTGAGAGCACATAGAGATCTTGTAAAGAGGAGAGGAAATGAAAACAGAAAGGAGTTTTATGTCTTAGAATTAACCTTGCACCATATCCGATCAAGCAAGCAAACTGATGAGTACTGAAGCACTGGGCAGTATCAGCAACAATTGAAGCCGACATTCTAAGGCCATTCTGAATCAGGTGCTGGTGAACAGCACCTACAGCAAGAAGTATTGGAATCGAAGGCCGAGTAGCTTCCTGGAGATGGCAAGCAATAAGTTTATTACACTTGCAAACCACAAGCTTTAAAGTTCTTATCAGGAAAGAATAAGGGCAAATAGATTAACAGATACGAAAGACAGACTGCTATAACAGATTAACTTTTCAATGAAGCACACTGGAAAAGAAAATTCAGAAAGAACCAGACTTCATAGATATCATGAATCAGGAAAAAAAAAAAAAAAGATGATAACCTTAATAATTTGAATATGCCTACAAATAAGTATTGCTACTCAAGGGGTAAACTAAAAATCTTTTAAATTTGAAAAACTGAGACTTGCATATAATTGGAGCAAACAGCACTTGGCCAAAATGTCAATACAGCTATGCAGGCAATGCCACCGTTGATGAAACTAAAAGACAGATAGTAGCACAGAAATGGCCAAAGGGCAGCTTACCAGTTCATCAGATCTATCAGAGAGGACAAGCAATTGAGCACCATTTCTAACAGCTTCATCAGCTGCCTCACATAGTTTATACAGTGACCTTTTCAAGGACCCTTCAACTCCTTTCCCAACATCAAAAAATGTTGGCAAAACATGAGCTTTCAAGTGTGAATCTTTCAACAGAGATTCAAGCTCTCCTTCATTAAGTACAGGACTAGGCAAAATAACCTGACCAAATACAAAATTGTAAACAATAGAAAACAACAAATGATACATGATATATCTGTACTAAACATAAGATCATAAAAAAAATTTTAAACACCACATATTATTAAAAGTTGAAAGGAAGGAGAAGAGTCAACCAACCTGAGATGCATTTTCAGGTCCAACCTCTAGTATATTTCCACGCTTGCCAAGATTGACTTCAAGAGACATGACTAATCCTTCTCTTAGAGGATCAATAGCTGGATTTGTAACCTGACATAGATGCACATAATATATTAGACATCAAATTCAAGTCTAATCATAAAAATCCATCATAGCTATCTGGTTAAGATAACCGGTGACTCCAAATATACCTTTCGGCCAAATATCAAGTAAGCAAAAAAACATCTTTCAGCCAATTTCCAAATCATAAGACTCATTCGAAAAGATAAGCAAACATACAATCAAAAAGACTCGTTCGGAAAGAGAGAAAGAAATACAAGTTTGACATCTTACAAAGCTCGCAATAAGTGCTGGAAGAAAAACTATGAATATCTAAAGACATAGCAGATGCCTTACAGAAATATCCAGGACTACAGATAACAACATAGCCCACCTGAGCAAACCGCTGCTTGAAATAATCATATAGCATATGTGGCTTTTGAGATAACACAGCCAAGGGAATATCATCTCCCATACAAAATGTAGGCTCCTTCCCTTGTGCAGCCATACTTTCAATAACCATTTGAACATCCTCGCTAGAATAACCATATGCCCTGTTTTATGAATGGAAATGATAACACAAGATTAATAATGGTTGATATAACAAATTCCAGTCAAGAGAACTTGCACTGCGAACCAGCATAGGGAAGCGATGGATGCTATCAGGAAAATTTTTATACTTCACCCAATGCATCAATAAATTAAGCAGACATATTCCAGTGCAACTAGTAATGAGAATTGTCTTCTCAAGTATTATTAACTTATAAATAAAAATCATAGTAATCAAAATTTGTGCAAGGAAATAGGACCCAAATCTCACATGCACGGTGAGAAGTCATTGTCATAGAATACAACTGTAATCGAAAACATGCCAAGTGGTGACCAACGAAATAACAAGCTAGGAACGTATTCCTTCCTTTGTCTCTGATTCTCAAGAGGAAGCTATATATAAAACTAAGCGACTCTCTCTTTTCTTGTATCCTTCACCTTCTCTTTGTTTTCTATCTCTTGTGTTTTCCACTAAATGAAGAGCTATCCTCACCGCATTTGCGAGGCACAATGGATCCATCACTTTATTCCTTTTTTTCTGAACTTACAACATCTAGAGAATCTTCTTCCTCCTACACACGCCTTTGGTAGTGATTTCTTCTGAGCCTCAGATTAGATTAGAGATCTAACACTTAATCTTTTTACACTGTTAATCCACATTCTAAATTACCAACTCTGTAAACAGAGCCTTACTAGCAAATTTAATAGTTTTACTCACGAGTAGGTCAATACCATCTATCATGACGGAGCCCGTCAGCAACAAATCTTGATACAAGCCTCCACTTTGTATGCTCCTTGCTTTCATTCTTCATTTCACGTCCAAGAGATAAAGGTAAAACTAGCAGAGAGTGTTTTTATCATTTAACCTAATCTATAGGTATAAAAGCCTTGCCATAATAAAACCATAATCTTCACCAGGCCAAAAGTATCAAGTTCAAGTAGTATCTGTTTGCAACAAATTTATGCAAAGAAAAATAAAACTGCAATCACAAACAACCGTAAAGAAAACAGGTGTTTATTGATAAACATGAAGGTTATAACTCTGTTTATCCCCTGATTCTTCCCTCCGATTTATTCTACGTGATTCGAGGGCCTTAGCGGCGTATTTCTCGAATGTAGGACTTTAAGCAAGACATATTTGACATGTCTTTGATCTCTTAATGAATATTCCAAGAGTTTCATGGAATTTAAGAGATCTCATATTTGATCTCTCTGTGCATATTCCGAGAGTTTATGGAATTGTTGAGATCCTCTTTGAAGGACATATGTAGCCTTATTTATAGGCATGAATTAGGGTTTGGATGGAGTAGCCACCAAGTAACCCTAATAGACTCCTAATATTTCAAGAGTTATCTTGAATTTAGGATTTATTTTAATCTGTTAAAATTTCAGTGTCTGCGGTATCGTTGCCCTTCTTTTCACACAGCAAAATCACTACTTATTTGAAATGCATGTCGTGTAGTCCAAACCCCTTAGAAGCATATGCTAATGTGCAGTTGCAGTTGTCCTTTTCACATGAATGTTATTTGAAGCAAATCCTAAAAGAGATCTTACTAATTAAAGAGAGCGTAACTACAAATGAGCAGATAGAAACTTTAGGAGACATGCAAATTATCCATGATAAATATAATCACAATTAACATCTTGCTAGGTCTTGACTACCACTAGGCGCAAAGGACACAATCACATATCAAATATCAACTGTCGCAGAGAATGAATCCATCTGAAGTACCTGAACTATAAAAGTAAAAAGCCTTATATACAAAGTGAAGTGCCAAAGTCTTACTGTTGGCGTTTTAGTATTATTTCACTGTCCATTACTGTTGTCGAAAGAAAGTTCACAGGCTTCAAAGATCGCAAATTTTCTTTAACCCACTCCCCATATGGATTTGACAATGCAACTCGCTTTTTGACTTCTGTATTCTCAAATACCTATGTTAATCAACAACAGAATTAGAACAAACAAGTTATGGACATAAAGGGCCTTGGGACTTGGAAGTGAATGATAGGATGATGAAGGATATGAACATATATTACTTCATAATCATAATCACTAATCCTAATAATAACAATAATAATAATAATAATAATAATAATTATAATAATAATAACAATAATTATAATATTCCCTCTATCCCAATTTATGTGATGTAGTTCGAATTTCGAGAGTCAAATGAGTGCTTGTTTGACCGCGAATTTTTCATATGCGTTTTAAATATTTGAATTGTTAATTATTGTAATAAAAAGTTGTTAATTATTGTGACATAGTACTTTTTATGTAGTTTTCAAATATGTATATTTTATTTCAAAAACCTTAAAGATTCTGTCTGAATTTGCGGTAAAAATTAAGAAGTTTGACTCTCGAAATCCGGAACTGTGTCACATAAACTCGGATGGAGGGAGTAATAATAATAGTAGTTAAAGTGCATTGAAATGCCATGCGATAATAATAATAATAGCAACAACTAAGCAAATTCATGAGTATCCATGCGCAATTAAAGTGCATTGAAATGCCATGCGATAATAATAATAATAGCAACAACTAAGCAAATTCATGAGTATCCATGCGCAATTAAAGTGCATTGAAATGCCATGCGATTAAAATATTAAAACAAACCTGACCACTTGAAAGATCAACACTTATCATCATACCAGGACCTAAACGTCCTTTCATTGTAACTTTTGATTCATCCATGGGTAGCACACCAACCTAACCAAAAGAATAAACCCTTCCAATCACTGTAAATATTATCCAGTTGTAAGGACCACAAAAGCAATGTCATTATTAATAAATCGATTATTCTTTAAGAACACAAATAGGAAAAAAGTAATATTGTCAGCTTGATTAATTTTAGAAAGAGCTAGGAGAAACATAATTTGGAGACGAGCCATAGTTTATGGCTTCTGCAACATTTGAAATCAGAATTAGGCTTCTGAAAAATGAACAAAACTTACACACCTCAGACGCAACATAAACAACGTTGTCTTTGGTCCGCCAATATCTAGCAGGGCGAAGTCCATTACGATCGAGACAAGCTCCAATTGTCTTCCCATCGCTGTAAATATGGAAGGAACAAGAACAAAAAAAAAACAAGACACAAACAGTAAATAATCGAGATCACAGTTTCATAATGTTATGATCCTTGGACGTATCAAAAGCAGTCTTAGTTTCTTCATTCCACAACCATATCCAAGTTCGAACAACTACATATCAAAGTTCCTTAATGCAACAACAATAACTATGCCTCAATCACAGTTACCTTACATCTCTTTTTCTTTTATAGGGGATAATTCAGTTCCTTACATATAATTGAAGATACGCTTTCAAGGAGATTAATATATCATCAAACAGAGCATCTTTCCACTTTCTATATGGACAGACCCAAACAAAAAATAAGCAGAAATCATTGAAGATCAAAACACTAAGAGGGATGAGAAGGCTTAATATATTGAAGCAAACAATGGTGACATCAGTAATCATTTCATATCTAATGCATGAGATCACATTAACAGACTGGGTAACAAGAGGAAGCCCAGATTCTATGCAGGTAAGGAATGGTGATCCCTCACATCTATTCAAATCAAGTAGATCTCAGCCACATAAAAGTGTTTCACACAAAAGATCAAAGACGGCGCAGGAAAACAGAAAGACTTTCCATCCTACTAAAAGGCCATTCTTGACTTCAAAAAATATCTAGGAAATGAACTCCAGTTTTCTTTGTGAAAGGGAGACCTTAAAAAACTAGCTGTTATAGGATGAGTAATTACAGAAGTGTATATGACTGACACTTTGAGAAATGTAATTGTGTATATTGATAACTGTAAGGATAAAAGGAATCAGGTGTAAGTCGTTCGTCTTCACGCATTCTCTCGTTCTCTCTCTTGTTTTTTCCTTATGTCTGAAGAGACCATTCTATTCCTCAAACCATCAGCTCTCACTTTTTTTACGAAGTAAATTTCATTAAAGAGCATCAAGCAGATGCAGAGGCTACAAAAGAGAGTATGTCAGCTTGAATTCAAAAAGGAGAGTACTATAGACTAGGGAACTGACTAACTCCAAACAATGATCAATGCTATTTAAACGGGAAAGGTTAACCCAGCTAAAGAAATTAACCAAACATCTAGCCTTCAAGGAGCAGCTTGAAGTTGAGATACCATTGAAACATCTGCTATTTCTCTGTCCATATACACCAAATGGATAAGAGAGTTCACACTAATTTTTTCTCCCTTTTCTTTATAGCGTTATGTTTGGACCAGTTTGCATGTACCTCAACTAATCTACTGTGCAACACTGCAATCTATCCAGCCGGCAAACACAGATTGTTAAGGTAATCCAGCCCACCAAAGGCTAGCGGGGTTGCGCTCAGACCAAGCATTCCAGCAAGAATTTGAACGTGGGATCTCCAGGTGATTACTGCCATACCTTAACCACTAGGCCAACCTCGTGAAACTTAATTTAGTTTTTATTAAAGATTTAATAAAGTACATTTCAATAGTTGTGTACATAACTCCTATGAGATAATATTACAGCACTACAACTAGAACCCAAACAAGTTGAAATATAACAGGCATTCAGAAGACACCTGAACAAGAGTAAGGCTGGCCCATCCCAAGCTTCCATCTGACCCTTGTAGTAATTATAAAAATCAAGAACCTAAAAACGATCGAAATATTTTGTCATGAAAAAGTGAACTTTAAAGATAACAATCTAATAATCATCTCGAGCATTACAAATATTAGTTACTCCCTCTATTCCAATTTATGTGAGGTGTTTGACTGGGCACGAGTTTAAGAATGAAAGAAAAACCTTTGAAACTTGTGGTCTAAAACAAGCCATAGAAATTTTTGTGGCTGTAAATCATCATATGAATGGTAAAATGGGAAGTTTAGAGTTAAACTGTTACTAATATAGAAATGTGTCATTCTTTTTAAGACTGAGACTGGCTAGAAAGGAAAGAGTGTGACATAAATTGGGACAGATGGAGTACAATCAGAAGGTAAAAATATCAAGGTTTAAAGGAGAGGTCAACATAAGTAAAATTTTTGGGAAAGTGACAGAAATATCTCAGTACGCATTTCAAAACTGTGTTAACATATAAAGTACAGAGGCTGATGAAAATCTAATTCAGACTAAATGCCAACATGGAATACCTCCGGATATTTAATAGTCAATGTTGGATGATTTTGATAAGCTTCTGGGACAAGAATCATTAGTGCTTCCTCAGGAGCTCGGCCACTTCTTATGAGTAACTGGATAATCCAAAAAAAAGGTTAGATGGTGAAAATCCATCATCATATCTACAGAAGAGTGATGTAAAGCAGTAAGGAAAAGGGAGTAACAACAAACAGTTCATGTTTAAAAGTCTGCATGAAAAAAGTTATACATCTGCGAGGAAAAATGATAAGCACAATAAGATGTTGGAAGCATTATGATAAAACGCACCCTGAAGCAATTTAAATTTAATACAAGTACCAGCAACCGAAAAACAGTAAGATTTTTTTTTTCCCAAGAAACCCATCTTAATAAACATTAAAGGCCAAACAGTTCCTAGTGCTGAGAAAAGAATGGTATTATTGCCCTCAACAATTACTAAAACTAGATAACTAAAAGATGCAGTGATCCATACTTCAGCCGCACTATCTAAATTTGCAGAATCAGACGCCTTCGGGTTGCCAAAAGGACGGATTTCATTCTCACGGTCACGCCAAACAGTTGATTTCAATGAGGCCTCTCTGGATTGCATCCAATTCAAGTTTCCCTGCAGATGGTTGTGGATGTAAAAACAACAGACACCATACACGTAGTCAGCAACCCAAAGAAACTGTTACTGACATCTATAATTACCTGAATAGTGTTGATCTCTCCGTTATGACCTAGAAACCTCATTGGTTGAGCAAGAGGCCACCTGGGACTGGTGTTTGTACTGAATCTACGATGGTAAATAGCGAAAGGCGATGTATACAGCTCACTTTGTAAGTCATAATAAAACCTCCCAAGGACTTCAGAACGAAGCATTCCCTTGTAAACTATAGTTTGATTGGACAACGAACAAAAATAAAGTTCATTTCCCCAAATCTCTGAGTTCACAGCTCTCTCAATGAGTTTTCGACAGATATAGAGTTCTCTTTCGATGTCATCAACATTTTCCTCTTTAACAATTCGAACAAAAACCTGCTGTATGTTGGGCATAGTTTCTTTTGCATAATATCCAACTACAGAAGAATCTACAGGAACCGGCCTCCATCCAAGCACCTCAAGACCCTCATTGTTAAAGATATTGGAAATAACTACAGCAATATTCCAAAAAAAAAAAAATAGAAACAACACAATAATGCTCATTAACCCTTCGTGCGAGGATGCAATAAGAGGTAAAAACAAGTATAAAGTAATAGATGAAGAAAAGCTTATAGGCAACTACCAGAATAATATACATTTTTGAGAACCAAAAAAGTGTCAATGGTAAAACTTGTGCAATCATGAGATACCGCAAACACATAAGTATTTGAAATACCTTGAGAGCAGTAAGCCCCAGCTTTTGACAGATAAGCTCAAAATAGATTTTGTTGGAATTTCATTCAACACAGAGCAGTTGGGATTTTTAATTTCATAGTTTATTTGGGTTTTTCGTATTCATATAGAGAATCTCTGGTTTTTTTGTATTGCATATTATGTCAATTGGTTACACATGCAATAAAATTGATTTAGAATTTAAGGACCTCTAAAGGTAGAAAACCCTTAAATTATCTTAAGAAAACAAACAATTGAATAGTGGAAATGTAACAACACAGATATTAAGGATTCATATACAAGCGGTACACAACTAGATATTCATATGGCACATTCTAACTAGTTTNCCCCCCCCCCCCCCCCCCCCCTAAAAAAAATCTGAGTTTTCACAAGTTGCGGTTGTCCAATATTCTACTTTCGTAACAGATCTTGCAATCCCACTTTGTTTCTGCTCTTCCAAGACACCAAGTTGTTCCAACTTAGAACTTAGAGTCTATTTGGGTTAGCTAATAGTAAATACTCTAATATATTTGTTAAAGGCTAAAAGTGAAGTTTTCTCTTGCTTTCGGTCATTTCATACGATGATTTGTACTCAATTTGAGGTAAGATAAAAAATCTTACAAACTAACGATGGCAAGGATAAAAGATTTGGTGCTTATTTGGAGTCTTATAGAATGATCCATCAAACCAGTTGCTTACACTAGTGCACAAAATGGGGTTGTTGAGGATCTCTTTTATTTATTATAAATCTACCAAAACTTTACTGGAGATACCATTCTAGTAGCTGCCTATCTCATCAATCGAATGTCACTTAAAACTCTCAATTTTCAGAGTCCTCTGTAAGCTTTAAAGGGTAAAAATAATTATATTGTTCATCCAAAGGTGTTTGGGTGTGTCCGCTTGATTCACACTAGGAATTCTGTAAAGCTTGATCTTAGAGCTCTTAAATGTGTCTTTTTTTGGGTATTCTCCAACGGATAAAGGGTATAAATGTTATCATCCTCCCTCTAGAGATCTTTTGCTAGCATAAATGTTACCTTTCGAAAATTTCAGTCATATTTTAGTATTACACAATCACCCCTTCAAAGGGAGAGCAATAAGGCACTGTTGAAACTGTGGAAACCACAACCACTACCACCAGGGAAAGTGAAATAGAGAAAGAATTTAGGAGGAGATTACTAGGCTATTAGATAGACCTAATCTGGAAACTTACTCAAGGAGAAAAGACCAGAAGAAGTCATCATGCAATCTGTTGATGCTCAATCTTCTTCTACTAGTGAGTTATCTACATTTCCTAATGATTTATATTCACCTATTGAACACTATTAAAAGGAGTTAGATCTTGGCATCCTGCACCAAACACCTTTATCTAATTTTATCCCCTATTATTCCTTGCTTCCCTCCTATAGAACATTTGCCTTGTATATTTCTTTTGTGTCTATTCCAAGAATTGAAGAAAAGTTTTTGCAGATCCTAAACAAAAACAAGATATAACTAAAGAAATGAAGGTCTTGTCAAGGAATGAGACTTGGGAACTTGCCATTTCACTACTAGACAAGAAGTTGGTTGGTTGCAAATGAGTCTTCACTATGAAACACAAAGCTGATGGTTCGATTGAAAGATACAAAGCAAGATTTGTGACTAAGGGATCTACTCAAACTTATGGAGTGGATTATCAAAAGACATTTGCCTCTATTGCTAAAACAAACACTATTAGAATTCTTTTGTCCTGTGCAGCTAATTTTGATTGGGACTTACAACAGTTTGATGTGAAGAATGCATTTCTTCATGGAGACCTAGAAGAAGAGGTGTACATGGAGATTCCTCCTGGATTTGACACCGAAAAAAGTCAAGAAAAGGTGTGTAGACTGAAGAAAGCCTTGTACGGATTAAAGCAATCCCCTAGAGCATGGTTTGGCAGATTCAGCAAAGCGATGATCTCCTTCGCTTACCAACAAAGTAATGTTGATCACACCTTCTTCATAAGACATCAAAAGGGTAAACTCACTCTTCTCCTAGTTTATATTGATGACATAGTAATTGCAAGAGATGACAAAGAGAAGATGACCTTATTGAAGAAGTTCTTGGCATATGAATTCAAGGACCTAGGAAAATTGCAGTACTTCCTGGGAGTTGGGAATTGAGGTTGCTAGATCAAAAAGAGGAATATTTATTTCTCAAATGAAGTATATTCCGGATCTCTTGAAAGAAACTGGTATGAAAGGTTGCAAACCAGCAGACTCGCCCATTAAAAGTAATCACAAGTTACAAACTGGAGTTGGATAGTCAGTTCAAAACGAAAAATATCAGAAGTTGGTTGGAAAGCTCATCATCGCTCTCACACTAAACCAGACATAGCCTATTCAATCAACTTGATAAATTAGTTCATGCATGATCCACGAGATCATCATATGCAAGTTATCTTTCGCATTTTGTGATATCTGAAGTCTGCCTGCTCTAGGGAAAGTTCTGCTCTTCTCCAAACATGGCCATCTCTAGACAGGAGTCTTTACTGATGCGGATTGGGATGGCTCTGTAGATGACAGAAGATCTATATATGGTTATTGTACACTAGTCTTTGTATAGTAATCCTTTTCATAAAGCAAGCCCAGCATATCAAAGATACAAACCATTGTATGGCAACGAGTGCCTCGTAGAGAATCAACAAATCATTGTTAGATAGTTCAACTTATCAGGCAATCTCTGATATCTTTCAAGACCTCTCTTAGGGACACTAAGGCCCCATTTGTTTCCTACTTTATGAAGATCTGAATATGAATCATTCAAATCTCACTCTATAAATGCATTTTTTCACAAAATCACTAAATAACTCTTAATAGGTCTGAATCAGTCAAATCTTATATAGAGTCTTAATGTCATTAAGACGTTAACTTAAAGATTTTCGTGCATGTAATCTTTACCACTATTTTATATATTACCACCGCAAACAACTACCTCCACCTCCACAACCTGCCACCACTAACAAACACTTCTACACTAGCCTTTACTGCTCAACCACCACCACTAACCACCAACCTCCTCCACGGTCAGCTACCTCCCCAAGCTCCTTGTTACAGCCATTAGAATGCGGTGATTTGCATTCTAAGGTATATTAAAGGTTCGACCGGACAGTCTATTGTATAAGAATAAGGAACCAGCAAATAATATTTGATACCATGATACAGACTAAGTAGGATCTACTTCAGATAGACAATCCGCTCCAGGGTACTATGTTCTAGTTGGAGGAGATTTAATATCTTGGAAAAAACAAAAAGCAAGATGCAATAGCTAGATCAGGTGTTGATGCAGAATATCAAGCACTGATTTTGTCTACATGTGAGCCTATATGGCTAAAGCAACTTCTTAAAGAGTTAAGGTGCGGAGGAGATGCACTAATGCGGTTGATTTATGATAATCAGGTTGTATATACTTTTCTTTGAATAAAGCATATATAGATAGATCGTCTTTCATTTGCTAAAGATTACGCTAGGGCGCATTGCGACAAGATTTGTCAGTTTGAGCCATCAATTAGCAGATATTCTTAACAACCACTCATGGTTTCGTGGTAAGTTAAGAGCATACAATATGTATGCTCCAACTTGAGAAAGAGTGTTCAGAATTAGGAAATTGTTATTATGGCAAAAGGCATTGCTTAAAAATATGGTAAACGTTTAGAATCCTTAGATTGTGTAATTAGAAATTGGAATTACTTCCTTTTCTTTTTAGGATTACATGTAAACACTATTTAAACCCCAACATGCTTGAAGGAATAATCAAGCAATGCATTCCCAAATCTCTTCTTTCTTTACCATTATACAATCATGCAACAAAAGCATTTGATTGCTCGAATCACCAGATCCCATTTTCTTGTAATCGAAATTCTCAAATATGTACAAGCAGATGTTGTACAGAATATCAAATCAGATGTTGTACAAAATATCAAATCTAGATTAGAATTCTCAAATTTGGAGGTAAAAAATATTTAAAAACCTACCTAATAATTGACAAAATGGCCACAGATTGAGATAAAAGGTTTCAATTGACGAAGAACAAACCAGGAGACAGAATTAAGCTTGCTGGAGAATTACCTAAAACGATAGCTGGAAAAAGTAGATGGAATATTTTGTTTATCGCAAAGCTAAGCAAAAAAAATTACAAAAAAAACTAGATATTGATATAGTGAGTAACAAGTCTGTAACGAGGCTAAAGATGCCAGAAGGATGATTGGCAGTGGCCTCAAGAGAGAAATCCAAAACAGATAGAAAGTTGCAGATTTAGGTTCTCGATCGCAAAAAATTATTAGTCACATGCATTGATGAAGGTGTTAAAAAGGGACGAGGTAGACCTAAAATCGCATAGAATGAAGTTGTCTCAAAAGACACTACAAATCCTTGGAATCATTGCATACTTGGCTAAAGATAGAGCGAATTGAAAAAAAGATCCATATAGGTGATACTTGCTAGTTACGAATAGGTTTTAAATTTGTTAAAGAGCTTTTTATGTTATTATTATTATTATTATTAATATTATTATTATTATTATTATTATTATTATTATTATTATTATTATTATTTAAATTATGTTCACTACTACACTTATTTTATGTTGGCATGATAATGATGATGATATGATTCGAGCATAAAGAAAGAAGTGAGGATTCATATCGCATACCTCAACTTTGTTTCGGACTGAGGCATAGTTGTTGTTGTTTACCTCGGTCGTCTACTCGGTTGTTGGAGATTCAGCAAAAAATTAGCGAGAAACTTTGTTGGAGAGTTGTTACATTGTTGGAAACTAGGTTCGGTTAATCGAAATTCGAAGGTGGTCGAAACTTGGATGGGTAGGATTGGAGTAATCGACTCCCATGGAAGAAAGAAGCTTGGCAGAAAGTGACCAGAAACTTCATCACTTGTTAACGCACTAAACAATTTCGCTAAAAGTTTTGATCTCTGATCAGCGTGGCGGCATCACGTGGTGGCTCCGACCGGGACATGACTTTTAATGTTTTGCTACATGAGTGTTCCGGTTATTGTGATGATGCTAGTCTATACACGGCACTCACCAAAGACAACGACGTCCCCAACAAATTTGACAGTTGAAAAATCACAATATGAAGATATCTCATTCTCCCAGATGTTGCTGTTAATGACGGGGAACAATTTCTTCCTAGAATTTGATACCATGTGAGAGATAAGAGATTTGTGAGAAGAGATTGATATGTGTAGGACAAATGCCTTAAACTTGAATTCTTTTACAGGTATGCTTCACAGTATATATTCTTATCCAGTGTGGAACATATATACCTAAGTCTCTAACCATTTACGTTTAGATATCTAACATCTTACTTCGTGAATTTGTTATGATATTACTGACATTACCTTGAATAACTATTTTAGCTGAACTGGATTCTGCTACATACGGAAGGAAGGCTCCTTAAAAATTATACATAATTTTTGGAGGGGAAAAAAAGAACAACTTAGTTTATCTAAAGTGAGGGAGTACAATATGTGGTCTAAAATCGCTTACAGAGATTTCAACTTTTTCCACACTACAGGGCAAAACACAAACTGAAAAAGTTAATCAAGGGTAAGAGAGAGAGAGAGAGAGAGAGAGAGAGAGACTCTATTTTGATAACTGATATGGCAAGAAATTCCCTATAACCAAGTAATGAGTATAGGGGAACTATGCTGTAATGGAAAGTATCTGTTAGCAAATCCTCCAAAGTTATATATTAAAGACTGACCTTTCTTGGCTTCATTCATCTGATTACAATCCTTAGGAAGAAAAATCATTCCAACTCCAGTATGAAGCTTGTCAAAGACTGCAATCCCTTCTTTCTCAGCCCAATCGTTGACAAGATCCCAAGGAATTGAAGTCATCACTCCAGAACCATCACCAGAATCATTGTCAGCTCCACAACCTCCACGATGTTCCATGCAGCCAAGAGCTACAAGAGCATCCTTGACGATTCCATGTGATGCTTTATTGTCCAAATTTGCGATAAAACCAACCCCACATGCGCCTCTTTCAGATATTATATCATCCAAGTCAGCAACCTGAAAAAGTTAAACCATGAAATCCAAGCCTGCCACATGGAGTACTTTCATAGGGTTATGGAAAAAAGTTAAAAGATTACACCCAAAAAAAAGGCAACACTCCGAGAATCTACCATCTCCAAGCTCTAAAACCTTGAAAAGAGCTGGTGCTCAAGAGCATTACTTTCTTTAAGTAAATAAGAAAATACTATTCCTGGGAAGATCACTCCGTGCAACATTCAGTAGTGATAAAGAAGGATAATTACTGAAAATATCCTTAAAGTAAAAGAGAAAAAAGTTCTTATAGCTGCGCAGTGGATGAGGGAAACAGTTCCATATCTGACATTTCAGATTTTTGAGCCCCAAAACCAAATATGGATGTTATAGAAGCTTTCATTGTTTCCAGGTGGATAACCAACTATGTATAATTGAGTATAAAGCAAACCTCACAAATTTACTCATAGTAACCTTTACATTAAAAAATCAGAGTTATCACTTCACAACAAAATTGTGCACAATATGAACAGCTGCATCATAAGAAACAAGCAGTGTTATTACTTTGGCTTCCGTTGATTTGTCATTTAAAATTGTCAGTAATATGCCTCGTAGCAACATAAGTGATGCCCAACATCTTTATCAGGCAAGTAACTCCCTCCAATTTTAACAGCAACTTACCCTCTCTTACTATCTTTCCATTCAATTAACCATGAAATGACATGGAAAGGCTACTCTATCCTCCATTAGATTTATTTTACACAAAAACCAATAAACGCTTTGGAATTCTACAACAGGTATAAACTCCATTAGGTATCTTGTGTCACTCATTTCAATAGCACTATTTCAAAGCAAACATATACGGGAAAAACAAAAGAAAACAAAGATATTGCAAGAGGACAGTAGTCTTTTGATGAGTTCTCAGAGTGATTGGCTTGAATAAAAGGGGCACAGAAAGTAAGATGCCTAGTAAAACATGGGGGGATCAGAGGGGAAATTACCACATTGCAATACATCTGTACGCTATATTGCCAGAGTAGAACAAGGACATAGAGAGAGAAGCTAAAGTAAAGCCCCAAGAGAAGAGCATTTCAGAAGATGTTATGGCAAAAGCTTGATTTACATATAACTTAAATATCACATAAAAGCATTTGTCCACTTTGATATTTTCTCTTTTACTATTTTTTAGGAATCAAACATGCCTCTGTCTTCAAGACTTTCTCCATTTCAACTTGAATGTCATAATTTAAGTTAGCAAAACAATTAGATTAAAAAGCGACATGAAAAGTATCACATTTTCATTCATAGAGTACGCAGGTGTATCGCCAATCCTACATTCAAGAACAAATTCGACAAACAATAGTCAACTTGGGAAACAACACGTGAAGAAAAGCCAATGAAGCTGATCAAGACCAACTACCTCTCAACCATTAGCAAAACTTCAAGCGCCTCAGACAACAACACACGCCTCAGATATCACATGGCATAAATCCGTATATCCAATATCTACAAAGTTAAGAGATGCAATATACTTATGATAAGTAAACAGCGGCCTCGGGGTCATGCAAAGCATGCAGTTGCTAATTAATTTTGTCAATTATATTTCACCTTTATATAATTCAACCAAATAACTCAATGGACTTTTGCTACCTACAAATCTGAAGCATTTTAGCATATGGAAAGTCAGCAGACCACATATACCAAGGACTCCAACTAGTAACTTTCCAAAAAGATGCTCCACATATGAAATCTCTTCCCACCTCATATGAAAGCACTATGTCCAATTTCAATTTAGGGCATCGAGATTAACACTAGACCTACTTATGCTAGTCATAGTACAAAAAAGGGACATGCCTAATGTTAAGAGACTGCTTTTTTGTTAAAGCAAAAGTTTTCCAACCTATCACCGTCTTCCCAAGTTTTGAACAGCAAAGTAATCAAACATGCATGTTTCTTCACATAATATGCTAAGTACGAAATCCATTGAAGCTAATTATTGTACCTACACTAATAAGAAGTCAACATAGCTAAAGTATACAACATCAAACACACACCTTAGGCACAATATCAGAGGATTGCTGAGATGCATTAGTGGCAACACGTTCAAGGTCAAGAGCAGCGTTAATTGCATTCCACTTGTTGTTTATCAAGCTTCTCCTATTAGCTGCCGCATAACCAATCCTTCGACGAACACGCTTGCTGGATTTACAGTACAATCCGAAGAAATCAACAAACACGCCGTCTTTACTCCCCGCAACAATCTTCGGTGACTGCCCATTCGCGTAGAGTAACTGCGGGACGTTCGCTACCGAGTTCACCGCCATATAAACCGATCAGAACTCTCTCCCTACACACAAAATCGCACAGTGAATGTGTGAAATTAAGCAGTGTTTGTGTGAAAGGTTTAGAGAGAGGAAGAGAAGGTGTGGAAATGGGAGAGAATGTGTGGAGAGAGGGAAGGATTGGGAGATAAAAAGAAGAGAGTTTCGGAGCCACACTCTTCTTTTTTTTCCTTCTTATTACAGAGTTGATGGTGATGGTGATGTTGATGTCAATGATAGTGAGGAAATTTTTTGGAGTATATTTTGTGTGAAAGGTGACTGTAAGCTGAGACCAAAGGTCAGTGTGTGCGACTGTGGTAATTTGAAAGGGGTGTTTCATTTTTCTTTTTTTTGGAAGATTGAGAAGACGTGGAAATTTTGAGCCACATGAAATGGAAGAGGTTCTACTGACCAATGAATCTGTTACAAGTCATCAGTGCTGCTACCTTCGTGGAGCAAAACTATTTACTTTTTTGTCCGTTCCTAATAAATTATTTTTTTTAAAATTTAAAAAATTTAGTTTAAACTTTCAATTCTATCTTAATGAGAAATTTTTATAATATCACAAATATTTTGAATTCTTTTTTGACTTATTTAGGACCATAAATTTTAAAAGTCTTTATTTTTTTCTTAAAATTCGTATCTAATCAAACACGCTTACGTAAACTGAAACAGAGGGAATAACAATCTATAAACATTTTTTTCCGTTTCTCTTTTTCTACTTACTACTACTATGTTTTTCTCAATGGAGATAGACCTACGAATAAAATTAGAAAAATACTGAATTTAGAGAAAAGCTGTTGATAAGATTAGAATATTGCACTTTTGTGGTGTAAATACACTCAACAAGGACTACTAGTGCTTCTTTTTTAAAATACTACTAATACTTAATATTCGCGGTACAAATTAAAGTGAGAATAAATCTCACTTAACCATAATATATGTATGAAAAACATATCTTACATTCATTGGTTATTGTAAATATTGGGTTCGAGTAAATTTTAAATCTAGTCTTTCTCCCGACTCTTACAATTTTATCTGAAATAATAATTAGGTGTTTAAATTGAGAGTATTATTTTATTTTTCCAAAAAAAATATAAAAGTTTCATTCATTGTAAAGGCAGAGGATATTTGTAAGAGAATCCAATCAAACATTAAATAATAAATTTATAATCGAGTCCTGTTATCTAATAATGCAGGCCAAACGAGCAATTTGACAAGAAAGAAAACAAATATAAAAAGTTAAAATTAAGGCGAACTAACATAATTCTTAGTTATGTAGCAATTTAAAAAATTTGTAAGCTTTTAACTCCTTAAGGTACGTCTATATGTGCTAAACGTATCATTTTACGTGCTAGTAACAACTACGGGTATAAGTGATATTATCACCGACCGAAATTGGTCGGAAGAGAAAACCAATCGAAATCGGTCAGAAAAAGTATAAGTTGGTTGCAAAAGTCAAATAAAATTTTTAATTAATATACCGACCACCATTGGCCGGTAAATGTGGTCCATACTGTACAATCGGACACATTTCTCATTTTAGACCGAAATCGGTCGGAATATGGTCAATATTTGACCAAAAGCTAGTTAGACTTGCCTATTATGTACGAAAAGATGTTAAAATAAAATAAGCTCCTCATTTCTAATCGGTATCGGTCGGAATACTGAATTAATTTTTTTCCTGCCAACTTCTGTTTTGTTTTTTCATAACTAATATAATTTTTTAAAAAATTTGATGAAGTTTTCGACCGATATCGGTCAGTATTAGTGGTCAAACATGGTCAAATATTTATAGATTATTGGTATATATATATATATCGTGGGATTTGACACTGTAATGGTCTGGTTGGCCGTTTTGAGTATTATAGCCTCGTTCCCCCATTTATTACCTATTCTATGCTCACTTGTTGTTATGTGACTTGTCGGATGGTTGATTTTGTTTCGGGGATGTTTCGGAATGAGTTGGGACACTTAGTCCAAAAGTTGGAAGCCTAAGTGGAACGAGTTGACTGGATATTGACTTATGTGTAGATGATTTCGAAATGGAGTTTTGATGGTCCCGACAGCTCCGTAGGGTAATTTTGGACTTAGGAGTGTGTCTGAATATTGATTTGCAGGTCCGTAGATAATTTTGGCTTGAATTAGCGAAAGTTGAAAATGTTGAAGTTTGGAGAGTTGAGAAGTTTGACCGAGAGTTAACATTGTGGTTACCGTGCTCGAATTTTGGTTCCGGAAGTTGGAATAGGTCTGTTGTGTTATTTATGACTTGTGTGCAAAATTTGAGGTCAATCGGAGTTGGTTTGATATGTTTCGACATTAGTTTTGGAAGTTAGAAGTTCATTATGCTTGAATCGATGTATTGTTTGATGTGATTTGAGGCTTCGAGCGAGTTTGTATGATATTTTAGGACTTGTTGATAAATTTGGTTGAGGTCTCGGGGGGCCTCGAGTGGATTTCGGATGGTTAACAGATTGAAATTAAACTTTGAAGATTTGCTGAAGTTGCTGATGCATATGCTTCTGGTTTTCTTATACGCAATCGCGAGTAGAAGTACGCGATCACGAAGAGTTGTTTGGGGGCGACTGGTGAAATTGTTCTATGCGGTCGTGAGATAAGGTATGTGATTGCGGAGCTATGGTCAGTAGTACTACACGAACGCGAGTGTTGTACCGCATTTGCGGAGAAGGAAAGAGGAGTGGCCTGAAGCCATGCATTTGTTCATCGAGATCGCGTGAGGAGACGTGCGATCGCGTAGAGTTTAGTTCTTGTGAATCGTGTTCGCGCTTGGGTTTCTGCATTCGCGAAGGGTTAATTTTGGCAGCTGGCATTTTTGTGTTTTGCGATTGCAAAGAGGAGCATCTGTGCAGAATATACGATTTTAGAAACGAGGGTTAGAATATTATTTCACATTTAGACTTTTGGGAGCTCGGATTGAGGCGATTCTTGGAGGGATTTTCAAGGAATTGATTGGGGTAAGTGATTCTAAAGCGGATTTGTCTAATATACATGAATCTATTATTATTTTTACTATTTAATTTATGTTGGGTTAGAAAAATTAAAAAAATTATTGAAACTCCATAAACTATAATTTGAATATTTTAAGGCCAAGTTGGGATCGGAATTGAGTAATTTTGGCATGGTTGGACTCGTGGTTGGATGGATGTTCGTATTTTGTTAATTTTGTCGAATTCTAAGACATGGGCCCAGGGTTGACTTTTTGTGTTGACTTTTGACTTTTGTTAAAGAACCTAGATTGATCATATGAAATTGATTCATATAGCTTGTGTTGATTGTATGAAGTTGTTTGTGGCTAGATGCGATTCATTCGGAGGCCGATTCGCGAGATAATGGCTTATTGGAGTAGGGATTTACGCGGTTTGAGGTAAGTAGCACTTCTAAATTTGATTCTGATAGTATGAATCCCTGAAATACGTGTTATGTGGTTGTTGTTTAGGTGACGCACATGCTAAGTGACGAGCGTGTAAGCGTGCTCCATAGTAATTGTGACTCGGTTGTTTATGTGGAACTGTATAGTCATCAAACCTTGTTGCTATTCAGGAAACCCCTACTTGTTAGAGTAATTGAGCTGTGATTCCTATTAGAATCATGTTTAGGTTATATGCTGGTACTGTTGGGACCTACAGAGGTCATTTTGTTGTTGAATTATTTGCCTAATTTGCAATTATATACTCAGTCACACCTATCATTTGCATATCATATCTCAGTCTTTGTTGTCATTTATTGTTACATCATATTATCATTGTTTGTGCTGATTGTCATGAGATTTGTGAGCCCAAGAGACTAGAGAGATTGATGACTGAGTGAGACCGAGGACCTGATTGTAAGTGATATTTATGGGATCAGGTTGCCTGCCGTAACAGGCTTTATTGATTTATGTCATGATTGGCTTATATTAGCGTTTGGGCAGGATCCGCCCATCGGAAGTCTGACATACCAATAGTGAGAGCAGGTACCTATGAAGTGCGAGTGCCGAGCGATTAGGAAGGCTGAGTGATTGAGAGTGCTGAGCGACTGGGAGTATTGAGTGACTAAGAGTGCCAAGTGATTGAGCATGCTGAGTGAAATTAAATACTCCAAGAGTATGTATATGACTTTATCACTGTGTTGCATTACAGTTGACATGCATATTTGACAGGTAGATATAGAGATGTAATATTCCTCATATCAGTCACACTTGGCATATTTTATCTGTGTTAAACTTGAACTGTTAAACTAGAAAGCATGTCTACATTTTTGTACTGTCTATAAATTGATTATTGGATTCCTCTCTAAGCTATTAATGTTGTTATTTGGATTTGGACTGTACCTATCTGAGCTCGTCACTGCTTTCAGTCCAAGGTTACTCTTGTTACTTGTTGAGTACATTGGGTCGGTTGTACTCATGCTACACTTTGCACTTCGTGTGCAGATCCAGGTACTTCTGGACACGGCGGTTGCTGGATTTGGAGCTTTATCTGTTTGGAGACTATTGAGGTAGCTGCCTGGACGTAGCAGACCTCGACTCTCCTTCTTTTGTTTTATTTTAGCACTGTTATAGTTTTCCAGACAGTTGTATTTGAAGTTTTGACTGTATTGTCATTTAGATGCTCATGTACTCAGTGACACCTAGATTTTAATTTTTTTATATTGAGTCACGGTATTATCTTATCGGTTATTTATGAAAATTAGTCAGTGTTAAAACTGTTTCATCTTGTTTTCCATTTAGAAATGCGTAGTTATTTGTGAGCTTGCCTAGTACTGTGATTTGTACCGTCACGACGTATTGAGTTTTGGGTCGTGACAGACACATATATAGATACACACACACACACACACATATATATATATATAGAGAGAGAGAGAGATACACGCATACACACACACGGGGAGGAATTTCTTCCTCGTGAACACGGGGACTGGGTCGCAAATGCAAAGTAATGGGGGTTTACCCTTCACGAACACGATCGTCCTCTCGCAAATGTGAAGGGTTGTGAGAACAT